CGCTGACACGATTGGCCTCAGCGGTACCCCTACTTTATGGTCCTTGGGTAGGCCATATAGGACTGGTGTCCGCGAGTGCGCCGGGGTGAGGTCCTTGAGAATGGATTCTGGCAGTTTGTCGCGACAAGTTTGACGAAACACTTGTTTAGTTTTCGCTTCTATTCTAGCGGTGGGGTTTTTGTCCAATGTTTCATAGTTTTGCGCATCTTGTAAAATCACTCGTGTTTTCTCTACATACTCTTCTTTGTCTAACACGACGAGGCCTTTACACTTATCACTGGGCTTAACAATCAAAGAATCTGATTGTTTCAAGGTTTTGAGTTCTTTACGCTCTTCTTCGGTCGTGTTTGTATCGGTCGGAGTGTGGTGCTTGTACGCGTTCATGACTTTCCTCTTAAGTTGTAAGAGTTGGGTCTCCGCATCGGTCGAACTACGAGGGAAAACTAAACAAGTGTTTCGTCAAACTTGTCGCGACAAACTGCCAGAATCCATTCTCAAGGACCTCACCCCGGCGCACTCGCGGACACCAGTCCTATATGGCCTACCCAAGGACCATAAAGAAGGGGTACCGCTGAGGCCAATCGTGTCAGCGTGCGGCGGTCCTACGGAGAAGACAGCATGGCTCTTAGACCGGATACTAAACCAACTCTTAGTGAAAATACCGGCCCATCTAAGAAATACAGAGGACTATTTGAACCGCTTAAAAACACAATATACGGAGTATCAGTTACCTCGGAACGCCATTGTGTTCAGTATGGATGTGGTCAACTTGTATGGGAGCATCCCGATCGATGAAGCTGTAGAAGCCGTCAAAGACCTCATTCACGAACACGAAAACGACATCGATCTTTTCGGCCTATCAACGAACGACATCGCCCGACTGTTGTCCCACTGTCTGGACAACAACTGCTTCCGCTTCGACCAGTCCTTCTACAAACAGCGGCTGGGGATAGCAATGGGCTGCAAAGTAGCACCACCAGTAGCGATCATCTTCATGCACAAGCTAGAACAGTCTGCCCTCCGAAACGCGACACTTAAACCGGACTTGTATGCAAGGTACATAGATGACACTATCGGGGTGTGGACTCATTCTCATCAGGAGCTGCGAGCCTTCCTCGACTACATGAACTCCGTCCATCCGAGTATCAAGTTCACGATGGAGGACTCTTTCGATTCCGGTTTCATTCCGTATCTGGATACCCTCATATCGGTTGACAAGGACGGACAACTGTCGACAGAGCTTTTCATCAAGCCCAGCCACTCTGGAATCATCATTCATTACTCATCGGCACAGCCGATGACAACGAAGAAGGCTGTCATTAGAAGCGAGTTTAAACGAGCGCTAAGGCTTTCATCAACCGAAGAGGCAATGTCAAGGTCATGTGACAAAGTTCAGAAAATGTTCGAGCAGAATGGGTATCCCAACCAGATGATCAGAGGCATTAGAAGGGAAGTGTCAAGACAACGGACTAAAATAATGCGACAACAGCGCAATTCTGGACGCGCTCGGCCCCAACAGGATCAGCGGCGACCACAGCAGCAGCAGCAGCCACGGCAGCAGCAGCAGTCACCGACGCAGCCAGGTCCTCGGCTACAGCAGCAGGCACAGGAGCCGTCTCCACCGCTTCCGCCGCCACCGCCGCCTGAGCAGCAGCAGCAACAGCAACAGCAGCAGCAGCACCACCACCACCAGCAGCAGCAGCAGCAGCAGCAGGGGCAGCGACAAACTCGAAGTGACGTTGATGGTTACCTTTCCTTACCTTATGTCGACGAGACCCTCTGTGCAAAGATAAATAACATAGCCAGACAATCGAAACTCAACGTAAAAGTGGCATGGACTAGTAAAAACACCCTAAGACATACTCTGATCAAATCTGACCTGACGCGTCCTGAGTGCCCGTCTGGCAGCCGGCAGGCGTAGATGCAATGCATGCAGTTCAGGAATCGAGGGCAAGTGTACCACACCAGGGGTGGTTTACTGCGTCACTTGCAACCTATGCACTTCGACTTCAACTGATGAGCGTGTACAGTACATAGGGGAATGTAAGCGTCCAGTAAGATTACGTTTCAATGAGCATGTGCTCAATGCAAAGAACGCGACTAGGGACACCCCCTTGGGTGAACATTTTAGAGCATGTCATGCTGGTGAGACCTTACCTGACCACCCTTTGTCAGTGGAAATTTTACACAAAGCCAAAGATCACCCGAATCGAAAGATAATGGAATCCCTGTACATTCGCGAGCGAAAACCAATCCTAAATAGAAATGTCTCTTCCTGGTTCATATTTTAGACTGTATCAAGTACATGTCATCGTTTAGGTGCCTATTCATAGACGTGCATATCGAGTATGTGGCACATCTACCTACTGATACTTGTTGTAAACGTATATAGAAATGATTGTGGGATTGTTGAATCACTGTTGTCATTTATTCTGGGGTGTGTGTGTGGGGGAGGGGGGGGGGAGATATTATAGGGAACATTCTTAAACTTTGTCTTGGCTATAGGACTTAACCTAATAACATATACTTCATTCGTTAGTTGTAGCAGCATTTTAGGTGAGCTCTATATGCAATGTGTTCACGTGAAATGTTTGAAAATGTGAATTTTTCTGCCGATATTGTGAGCTTCCCGTTGTGTCTGACAAAAGTTCTGTCTGGCTTATTTTGATAATGACCTGTGGTCGAAATCATCAATAATTATTTCATTATTTCATCTGTCGGTATTTCATTGTAAGGAGGCCATTTAAAAGTGTTTTTTCTCATGGTATTGTTTTGCTGTATCTGACCCGAGATCATATAGGCTCTTAAATCAGAATGAATTTATCAAGCATGAGCGGTTTAGAGGGCAACTAGGTCATGTTAATAGGTATATCTGAGTACGATGTAAATGTTTGTTAGCTTGAATGCTATTCTTAGAATGACATTGAGTCAGTTGAAGACACTGACAGTATTAGAACGGCACTGTACCGGATGGCACTGTAGGAATTCAGAATTCTGATCATTGTTATCGTAATTGTGTTACAAGCTGATTACGAGCGAGCGAGCGCAGCGAGCGAAGTGAGTCTTTTCAATATAACGGAAAAATCTCAGTATGAGCGGCCCGGCCCGGCCCGGCCCGGCCCGGCCCGGCCTGTAACGCTTTTGAGAGGCTTATATCTCAGCAACCGCTGGACCGATTGGCCTGCGGTCTTTTTTGCTGGGTAGCCCCATCCCTTCTACCCCGTAATTGACTACTTTTGATACATCTCAGTGACCGTCGTGGCACGTGCCACGTGAAAAGTCAAGGGTGTTCAAGCTGTTTTGCAAAAGTAGTGATTTTGAGAGGCTCATATCTCAGCAGCCGCTTGGGCGATTGACTTGCGGTAATTTTTATAGGGTAGCAGCATCCCTTCTACCCAAAATAGAATACTTTCGATGTATGTGGGTAACCCCCAGTGCACGTGCAAAATACAACAATAAGAGGTGCCAAATTTGTTCCCATTTCAGTAACTCGGTAATTACTGGGGCGATTTCGCTGAAACTTGGCATACAGGTAGGCACCCACCAGGCAATGCATTCCCATGTGTTGCGGTTAGGGTGCTACTGCACGTGCGCACGTGCAGGGGGCGTTTCCAGATCTCGAGAACGGCCGGGCCGATTGCGCTCAAATTTGGTACACCGCTAGCGACCGGTTAGAAGGATGCTTTGCACAAGCCCGTTGGAAGCACCCTCTCGCCCTTCCGCACGTGCAGGGCTCACTATCTCGCTCGCTCGTTCTTCGCCCAAAAGGCGTTTTACTGGTAAGTAACCGTGCTAAAAATACAATATTTTCTGTTTCAATGCCCTCCAAGCTCTGCCATTAAGAAAGCAGTAGGTAATTGCATATCCTCAAAGTTCCCGCACGGATCATCTCTACCTCAATGCAGGCAATATAACTGTTTTATTGCAGAGATACGTGTGTTTTTATTTACCCCAGTAATGATCCTGTTTATTGGGAAAGGCCATGCCTTAAATTTTGCCGGAAAAGTTGTTGGTGTTAAATAATTACATCGGAGCCGGGAGCGTATCAACTTTCAGGCAATGCGGATAATTCAAGTGAAGCCGGAACTGTGGGTCGACTTTAGCCTCAGCGGTAACTGGTAGCTGATTGACATAGTGCTCGTCCAGTTAGCACTGCATATTCGAATAAGATGACACCGAGCCCTTATATTTGTTACATTTTACCAAATTAGCTCCAGCAACCTTATTGACTTATAGGCCTGAGTGAGCAGCATTGAAACGCACTCACTAAACAGGAATTATACAGCCAAGTTTCACAGTTCCAACCAGCGACTGTAATAGCTATGATCGTCCTTGAACTTTAAATGTGTCTGAATTCTATATACGGCTGGCAGTGACTCAAGTACACCGGACCATTATACGTGGAAGCAATTTGCCTGTCCCACAGTTTCCCTCGTATTTTCCGAAGATGTTTTCATATTTTTCTCTGTTGCCCCGATTCAGCAATAGGTATCTTCCTCTTGGTCACCCGTTTCATATCCAGCTGCACAGTTTGTCACAAGATGCATACTTGAGCAAAAAACAATGAACGGACATGAGCCATGCAAAACATCTCATGAGGAAGTGATGTTGAACGATAACATTGGTGGTGAAAACGTGAGCATTGCCGCAAGCATTTCCGTCGCCATTTCCGTAGTCAAATGCTAAGTGCGAGTCACACATAACGGCGGCCACATCAAAGACGATTATGCACTGCGATTGTCATGCAGCTATAGGTACGTCCAAGCCTGCTTTGTCATTTGAGTCTTAGTCATGCGCGACTGCATCAATACTTAGACCTCGCATTGTCCTCTAAACCATTCCCAAACAAAAGGTGTTCGGCGGGTCCTTGAGGACATTTACCTCGGCGTGGACGCGCGAAAACACACCCTGACGACACGGCATCATGACGTCATTTGCAGCGCGGTGACGTAGATACGTCAATCGTGGCGTCAATCAGCGAATGTCGCACGTTTGCTTACCTGGTGGACTATTGATGACGTCAAATGTTGCCGCAATCTGGGACGAGTTAGATGGCCGTGGTAGAGCCGCTGACGTGGTTGAAGGGTTGTTTGTCCGAAAATTACGGCATCAGACGACGATGAATTGTCTTTCTCTTCGCAGGCGGTACTGAACCACTGATTTTTTTGCGCAGCTAGGTCCGTGACCGCAGTCAGGTCATTTCAGGTCGCCAGATTATGTGAGACGAGGGGTTTACTCGTCCGATTACTTTGCTGGCCTCTTGGGACGAAGTTTTATCTGTCCGTCAGGTCACTTTTTCATAGACCAGTCAGGTCACTCCTCAGGTCACGGTAGAAGTCACTGAAATATCACTCCTCACGTCAGTATTCAGTCACTGAAGAAGTCACTGGTTTGTTAGAGTCCGTCAGTTCTCGTCACTCCATTCCTCTGCCTCAGACCGGCCACATCAAATCACACACCCATCTAATCCGCACCGTCCTCCCGCCGCTTCTCTCCCTCTCCGGTGCCGTCGCCCCACTTCCGCTCGTCCCGGCGCCTCCTCCCGCGCCGTTTCCGACGCTACGACTGACGCCGGCGGTCCGGTCGGCTCAGGAGGAGACCGGAGAGCGTCCGTCGACCGGCAGTCTGCGCCGCTCGCGCCGCCACGGGTCACGACGAGACCAGTGGGTCACGGCGCGGGGCCCGGCCGTCTGCCGTGGAGCCAACGGGACCCGGCCGGCCGGCTGGCTGGTCGGGCGGCGCGGCACACCAGTAGGCCAGCGCGGCCGGCCGGCCGGCTGACCGTCCGGCCGGTCCGTGCACTGGAGGTCAGTCGGGCCCCGGAAGGGTGCTGCTACCGGACCGGGTAGCGGGACCGGCACCGGTGGGCGGATCAGATTTGGAGGTACGGATGCTCCTCTCGGTGGCGTGATGAACAGAGGCTGACGGCTGTGGGCTGTTGCGTGGGGCATGATGCTGGGCAGGAAGTGAGAGACGGTACTCCGACCATTGGTACTGTTAGATAAAGACCTGAGAAAGCAGCTCAATCTGCACGAACGCTCAGCTTGCTCATGCAAATCTCGGATAGATTTATTTAACTGTCGGCCAGTTCGAAATTCGGGCCAAGTAGAGCTGAAACTCTGTCTCAGTACCTATATAATTGGCAGGCATCGGCTTGAATATCCAGCAATGAATGCACTTAATCCTGTGTGTTTAATATGCATTCGAGCGGTGCTTCTGCTGGTGTATCTGAAAAGAAACAGTTGAGCTTTATCTAATGCCAATCAGCTTGTCAGTTTACGCTTGCATTACCGAACAGCGTAAACACTGAACAGCACAAGTTGCGTTACTGGTCATGCCTTCGTTTGTATTAAGCTTATTTTTTAGCGACAAGAGCACAAGAGTGCAGAACTGTAAGCGAATATGTCGTGTCTGGATTGGCTAAGCTGGGATGAACGAATGGTAGGAGGGCTGCCCAGTGCCGGCAGCCCGCGTATGCCGAATTATGTATGTACACCGCACCACACGGCAGACCACTTGACGCAATGCGCACTACGCCACACCCATCATACGAAGGCCCCTCTGATTTCTGAAGTTCTATCCATTATCATGTCGTCACCGGATTTCAGCGTCTCGATCGGTCCGTGACTGGTCCGCCACACGGCTCCCATCAGCTCGAATCGGACCACTCCAGCGGCCATGGTCGGCTGGTGGCTAATGCCGACTGTTCCCTGCTTCATTGGCCACCACCAGTGGCAGCTCAGAAGCCAAGGGCGCCGCGGAGAAAACGCTGCAAACGAGGAGAAACTGGAGACTCGCGTCTTTATCGCGTCGACTAGTGATTGCAATATTTTCGCTCGGAGTGGCTCACATCTCCGCAAAGCATATGAGCATTCATTACTTGTGCGGGAAAGTTTAATGCATGGACGGACACGGCATATGTAAGCAAAGAACCATATGTATTTTATATGATTCATTTTTTATGACAACAAGCTTCTGCCGAATCTGTTCTCGTCCAAGGCATGTCGAAACGAAAAATAGGCAGCACCGTACCTAACTGCGTACCTACATAGGTAGGTATATGCGTTTTAACTTTTACTCCACTTCACGGTTCATTCAATTAATTCATAAAACAAATGTCAACAAAATGAACAACCACTCAGTCTAAAGACAGTTGCTGCCTTGTTAGCATGGCCCGGAAGATTCTCGGCCTTCAGGCCAGCCTGGGTCATGGTATAGTGAGGACAAGTGATAACCAGCGTCAGGCATATACATAATTACACACATAGGTCACGATGATGCTTTCATCTAAGGTCAGGTCAAGTGACCTCTGACGGAAAGCTGCCGACCGCCAGCAGAATTTTTTAAAAACATTTTGTGCTTGTCTCCCCTTCGCTAAGCTGAACGGTCATATATGTACTTACTTGCAACATATCTATAGTCCTATGATTTATGAAGCCAGTATTTCTATGTCAGTGGCTGGAGAATGTCTGCGTGCTTGAATTAAACTGGACGAATTGAAAGTGTGTCTAGATTCATATGTACGATACAAATTTTCACTCGTTTTTTCGGAAAGACATCGATAAGGCTGTACGGTTTACAGTTTGCGTCTGCGATGCTCAAATATCCATATTCGGACAGCGCGATACGAGATAGCGTTTAATCCTAAAAAGGCGGCACACATGTATGACAACTTATATCCTAAGTAGCGCATACGCTTCACTGACCTCGCGATAAACATGAAATAAGCCCACCCTCTACCGTTTCGGAATCTGTCTGATAATCGGTTGTCGTTTTCCTCGATGTGGGTGCGACCCGACGTGGTGACGAGCGCCAATCTTGCGTGGCGACACACTTTCCTTCTTAGGACCGCACCTTTGATGAACACCTTCCAAACATGGTGCGAAGAAGCTTGAGCCTTGAGCCACCTTGCCTATCACCAATAAGCTATTGGCGACATGTGCTCGACGAACCGTGAGCTGTAAGAAAGTGGCACACGTGTATTTATTCGTCGATGATCAGTGGAGGTTTGTTAGGGATCAGTGGACGTTTTGCTGGCGATCAACGGACAGTTTGTCGATGGTAAACGCCCGGATAGTTTGTCAGCGATCAGCGGACGGTTTGTCAGCGACCAGCGGTGCGACAGCCCCTGAGAGCGCTGACCCAGCGTTTGACTCATATTGGACTATTGTTAGAACTCGTGTGCCGCAGAAGCTCCCACCAGTATCGTTACAGGGTGCCTGAGTGGTCTATTGTTCTTCAGATCGGGTCGAAGAGTAAATACGTGAAGCGCTGGGAGAGTGATTAAATACGCAGGGAGTGATCCCGTTTTTCCTGTTGTCCTGGCATCGTATCGGCCAAATTGTGAGCATTAGCCCATTCTTCAGTGGGCTGTCGGTCGGCTGTTTGGTTAGATGATTGGGGAAAGAGCGTCTTCGTATACAATGAAGTCAGCCGTTAGCTATTCTTTTAGCGATTTGGTTACATGAGGTGGAAATTGAGTGCACAAGTGCTTCCCTTTTGCATAAACTGCTAAGCTACCCGTCAGTAAATTGATGGATAATATGCGACTGTTACCGCCTAATGAGCCCTGGATTTTCCAGAGCTCAAGTTATATCTAATTCGGGATAATTATTGCCTATTGGTATAGTTTCTGTGGCAGTATAGTGAGCTCCTTTGTGTCGACCAGTTCGAAGACGACGGTGACAGGCCCTGAGAGCCTGAAGACGGCGTTTCTGACAGATTTGTCATTCGTTACGGAGCGAGCGAAGCGAGCGTAGTCTTTCCTTAGATTAACGGAAATTTCTGAATATGAGCGGCCGGCCGGCCGTGCGGACGCTTTTGCGAGGCTTATATCTCAGCAACCACTTGACCGATTTACACGCGGTAATTTTTGTAGGGTAGCTTCATTCCTTCTACCAAATATTGGACTATTTCCGATGCATGTGGGTGACCCCTTATGCACGTGCCACGTGCAAAACGAAGAGGTGTCAGTTTTGTAATTGTTGCAATATCTCGGTAACTGCTTGGCCGATTGCGCTGAAAGTTGGCATGTAGGTAGGCACCCACTAGGCACTGCATATCCATGTGCCAGAGTTGGGGTGCTGCTGCACGTGCGCACGTGCAGGGGTCGTTTCCAGATCTCGAGAACGGCTGGACCGATGGCACTCAAATTTGGTACATGGTTAGGGACCAGTTAGTAGGGTGCCGCGCACAAGTCAGTTGGGACCCATTTTGCACGTGCGCACGTGCAGGGTGCCGCTTCCAGATCTCGAGAACGGCTGGGCCGATTGTGCTCAAATTTGGCACATCGCTAGAGACCGGTTAGTAAGGTGCCGTGCACAAGTCAGTTGGAGGTACCCCCTCGAAATTTCGCACGTGCAGGGCCCACCCTCTCGCTCGCTCCGTTAGTCGCCCCAAAAGGCGTTATACTGGTGGTAAGGTATTCTGTTAGCTTCAGAAGTAGTAAAAACCAAATTACAAGACATACATATCGTTCTATTCTTGAAGTAAAATCAAACGTTTCGTCCCAGTGCGCGTCCTCTCGTCTTATACCGTGGCGAGGTATATCAATATGTGAGAAGCATCCTCGTCCCGGCCCCACCCAGGTGGTGTGGTGGTGCCGTTCTTTGACGCTTTGCACACGATAGCTACGAACACGTTATAGTTAGGATGGAGCCCCGCGAGTTGCTGGGGGGCATTAAACGCCCTCACTTTTTCGCCGTGATAGGTAATAAGTACCTATATCATATACGATATATCTAAAAAACGACTCGCCGCAGACATACCTGATTGATTATGGGCACTTGTAGGAAATTGATTGAAGCTTATTGCGACAAAATTTCAAAACAGAAAATCGATCGGTTAACCTTTGAGGTAGGTATCGAGGTTTTAGTGACGTCATGACTTCTGAGTTTTCGACCAAAACACGGCATATGCGCGAAAAATCACATAAAATCACAAAAGAGACGTATGTAGGTAAGTACTCAGACATGCCATAAACGTCATCAGGCTGCCAATGCTATGAACTTGATCAAATGGTCGTCTTCGATTTTTTATTATCGTTCAACATTTTCCAAAATTTTGAACTGAATGTTGGCAATTTCTCGTAACTACAGGGTGTCCCAAAATTAACCCGCGCCCCGCTGGGCTATTCAGCCATACGCGCCCTGCTGGGGGGGGGGGCAGATTCTGCCCCCCCCCCTGTCTAACTTCCGAACCGATGGTCGTAGAAAGACGGGGAAAACGGCAATCGAAAGCTCTCAGCAAGGCGGATCTTAAGAGCCCAAATTTTTTTGCTTAAGTAGGTCAGAGGTCAGGTCAAGGTCAGGTCAAGGGTACAAAATGCAAGTTTCTACAGTATCGGCCTTGCACCGTAGTTGCCGAAGAATGGACTGAGACTGATTGCCCAAAACGTGTCCTTAGACTACCAAGACAATATTCGTTGCACACAATGTCATTCAAAGGTCAAGGTCAAGGTCAGGTCAGGTCAGGTCAGGTCACCAAAAACAAAATATAGAAAAGGGCATGTGCGACACATGTTTTATGGGTCATTTTACTCATGGAATTCAATAAGCACACTCAATAAGTGATATGGACCCCCTCCGGATGAATTTCAGGTCGAGGTCAGGTCAAGGTCAGGTCAAGTGAGGTCAAATTTTGAAGTTGGTTGTTAAGGCCTAAAAAGGTGTGTATCCGATGCAGTTTTTCACGGCGAATCGAATGGTGCTATTTTTATTTCCGTACGAGGTCTAGAACTTCAAAAAAAAATCATTTTTCAAAATTTTTGTGTGTCGTGACGTCATAAAATTTTGAATAACTCCCACATTTTTGAACCGATTCTTCTAAAAATTGGTATGTAGGTGCACATAGACCACTTCTTTAACATATATTCTGGTTTTTTCGATAAACTCAAAATTTTGGATTTTATAAATATTTTTCAAAAAAAGTCAGTTTTTTGGAAAAATGTTTGGCCAAAATCAAAAATTTTCAAAAAACCGAGATAGCCATTTGATAGACAAAGTAGAATCACGTATAACCTTTTTTGTTACGTCTTGATTACTTTAAAAATGAAGACGTTAGCGGCGTTTGAAATTTTGCCGTTTTTTTAGGCGAAAATGGCGAACATGACGTCACTAAAACGTCAATTTCTCAAAAATTTTCCGACGGATTTCGCTCAAATTTTCAGGGAACGTGTAAAATCGATGTATGATAAGGTACTGAAAGTTTGACGTCGCTGGCGTAACGCGTTTAGAAGTTATTGGCGAAAAACGGGAGGGGGCAGATTCTGCCCCCCCCCCCCCAGCGGGGCGCGGGTTAATGTCACACCCTCCCACAACCATTGTTTTGCCTTCCACTGCGCAATATCAATATAATTTCACCGGTACTGGCTCCCAGACCATAGGTATTGGCTACATTCTAGTCATCGGACCTTCGAATTTTTGTGACCCCGAGGCCTGACCGGTCAAGGGAGGGGTGTACGGAGGTCATTTTCGGGGCAGTACCCAGCGCGCGCGGACCAGGTGTCCAGGATGGCGAAACTGCAGCAGTAGCGGCGGAACACCTTCAATTAAGGGGGGCACTGCCGACTTTTGGTCCCATTCATTCCATGCAACGCCCATAGGGCTAATGTTAAAATGCCAAAATCAAAGGGGGGCACGGTACCCCGGTGCCCTCCCCGTTCCGCCGCCTATGAACTGCAGAGCAAATCGTCCCGCAACGGGGCAGTCGGCATGGTTGCCGGTGGCATGACCCACGGCCAGGTCGCCGAGGTACCTACTGGGCATGAGTTGTCGCGCGATTTGGCGCTGGTTATCACGAACCGAACCTTATATCAAGAACCCGCCGAGCTTGCCATGCTTTTACATACCCATGCTGACACTAGGAATGGTGAACGTTCGACTAGACAGGACAACTGTTTGCGCCTCTCAGCCGTGCGCACAGCGACGGGGCAGCGCTGTTTTCAGTACCGCGCTGCTAGTCTCCTCAACTCCATGCCGGGAGACGCGAGAAATCTAGACCCCGCGGCATTTAAACGAGCTGTGAAACGTATTTTTACTCGGCGATGACTTACTCGTATATGCGTGACTGTGTGTGCGTGTGTGTCATTGTGTGTGTGTTTATGCGACATCATTGCCTTGCTCTTTTATTCATCTCTGACTAAGGACACGTAAAAGCTACGCGTTGCTGTAGAGTGTCTGCTATTGTCAAATACAAATACACGCGACAGAAGCGGATAGACGCCTGGGAACAAGCTAGGTCGCGGCGGGAAGACTTCCGCCAGCCGGGTATAGCGCAGATCGTCATCGCGAAGTGCGGAGCTAAAGACGGGCTTATCCACAAGGAAACTGGCAAGGAGGCTGATTGCCAACAGCCATCAAGTCTTCAAATTGATAATCCATCGGTACCGGAGGATGTCTCTAAAGCTGAAGCCCAACAAGCCACGTTTCCAGCCGAAAACTTCTGCTGAACATATCCAGGGCCCGCGCCCCGGCTCATCGAGCTAGAACGACGAAGGACTGGTACAGATCGAACTTCCCAGCATTCTGGGAGAAGGACAAATGGCCGGTGAATAGCCCCGACCTGTCGCCGATAGAAAATCTTTGGGCGATCGTCCTGTAAGAGGTGAGCAAAACGGCGCTAGGATAACCTGAACGCACGCTGACCAGGAACGTTCGATCTGTCTGGTCCAAGATTAGTCCACAGAAGCTAGACATGTTGATGTCTGATGTTCCGGACCGTATGCTTGCCCGCATCAGGGAGAAGGTGGGATACATATTGCATATGTAAGAAAAGCGCGCCTCTCATGTTTGTTATTTTCATGAAATTGACGCTGGAAAGGTGTGACATTATTTTTGGGACACCCTGTAGGTGCCTACTTCACGACCATGATGCATGCATTTCTTTTTTTTTACCGAACACAATTTCACGATTTCATACATCGGCTACCGGACAATACACGAATTCATTCATCGAACACCGAACGACAGAGCCCAACTGTGTTCATCCAGATGTCGCCACCATACCTCCCGCTCACGAGACGACGGCGAGTTGCATAGTTTCCGTTCCCCCTTCTCCCTAACAGAAGGAAGCAGCTGTCTGGTGGGAGGTATATTTTCATCAGGGATGCAATGCGATGACCACGTAGCCAGCTCGTCACAACACCAATGATCTGCTCCTAGTAGCGCGCCGTTGTAATGCCATTAAATATGGCATATTCTATACACTAGCCGTGCGAACGTCTGCGAAAATCGCTGACTAGCACGTCCGTATACTGAGACACATTCTAGGCAGATGATGTACAGTACCAGTAGACACGTACCATAAACATCGTCAAACATCATCAAAGAGTACAACACACGCCTCGGCTCGCGGGAGCCGAGTATCACAACAGAGCGCCTAGCCAGTCCGTGACCAGCTACAGGGTTTGTGCGCTGGGCGGCTGCCCCAGCTGGGACGGGTCCTCGATCTGCGGGTGGCCCGGCTTGAACTGCTCGGCCGATAGCCGGGTGAACAGGATGCCCACGCCCTCGATGAGCGCCAGCAGGACGCCGCCGATGACGGCACTGCCGGCCATGGCGGCGGCGCCGTTCCGCGCCGCCAGGATGCCGCCGGTGGCCGCGCCGCTGATGATGCTGTTCCACGGGTCCTCCTTCTTGCGCAGGTGCACCAGCGTGCAGTCGATGGTGGAGAACATGCCGCCCCAGACGGCGAAGTTGCCGCCGATGATGGGCGCGCGCGTTTTGACGGCCACCAGACTGCCGGCGGCGCGGCGCGCCAGGCCGCTCGGCGCGTTCCGGAAGCCTTTGATGGAGTGGAAGACGGCGCCGCCGATACAGCCCATGGTGAAGGCTCCGCCGCAGTCGTCCAGAATCCGCCACGGGCACGGCTCGCGCGAGTATTCCTCCATCGTATGTCTGAGGGGTCGTAGTGTGCCATATCAGCTGAGTTATTTTAATGTCCCAGTGACAATGATATATCACAGGATGAGGATGACCTATAGTGCAGATTCTGTACTAAAAGTGATCTTTATTAGGTTGAATCTGAATGGCAAACACAACTACCAATTATATTACTCCTTACCTATCATTTAAAGCAAGAGCACATAGATTGAAAAAAAAAACAATTTTCTGTTGATAATTTCTCTACTTGTATCCCCCAATGTTTCCACAGTGTATTTTTTTTTAAATATAAGAAACTAATATCATTTAGCTGTTGCTTTTTTCTTATGATCAAACATGTGATAAAATTATCTAATACCACCTTTTATAAATTTCGTTACCTATCAATCAATTTCAATATCTCAGTTTCAATTAAGTTCTCTCAATCAACTTCAATTTGATCAGCTGCTGAAGCAATTATCATTTGAGCAGCTTGCTCTTGATTCTCATTGATATGTGAGAAATCTTGCTTCCCTATAACCATTAAGCTATGATTGCTTGAATAAGTAGGTAGGCATTCAGACTAACAAGGACCAAAGAAGATTGAGATGGACGCTTGAGCCCTGGCAGCTACGCGCCCTAATCCAACAAGAACAAGAAGACTAACAAGAAAAAAGTATGTTGGGTGAGAAGCAACAAATGTTCGCCAATTATGTTCTGTTCCACTCTTTTTGCTGCTTTTGATTTAAATTCCTGGCTCATCTCCATGAACTCAACTAATGGCAAGAAAATATTGCTTTAAACATTTAACTGTAACAGTCCCGACTTTATTTTATCATTCTTTACTTGACACTATAGGGCTAAGTCAATTCCAGTTACCAACTTACTAGCATTTTCATGTTAATTATAAGCTTTTGTAAGGGCTTTATGAAATCTAAGAAAATGTATCCATGTGGAGGGTCGTGTGCGGCTAATACACGCCTTTAGCTTGTAGGATAAATGATAACAATAACACGTCAAATATATATTTATAATATATTTATCCTAACTGTCTTGGATATTCTACATTTAGCTTGTAGCCCAAATGCTACCTACCGAAAATCCCTATCTGCAAACCTCATTTCATTTTAAGTGTTAATTAATGAAACTGTTTTTCCACAAACACAGATAATAAATAATTCACAAAGGTGGATAACTTCAAATTTACTTATCCACAGACCACAGGCCAAATCCCGACAAAAAAGAAAGATCAAACAGCAATAGCTTTCAGAAAAAAGACAATGAAACAAATAAAAAGGAGAAAAAGACACAATTCAAATTTTACAAGCCAAAAAACACTAACCTTTAATATGAAATTTAGTAGAAAAAAACTCCCAACCCGTCCACGGTCCAATGCTGGCACGAAAAAGGAGCGCAATATATGTCGCAAATGAAAAGAAGTGCATGTATGCTATGTGAAATTTTCATACCCATTTATTATTTATGACGTCATATAAAATTTCGATCTTTGATTGGTGTAACAGCTGGAGCAAGCAGAAAAACATGCAGTTGGTACCGAAAATTTGATACAAGTTTGCTGAAAAAGAGCTATTTTGCCACTAATAAATCAGAGGAGATAGTTATTGTTTGGTATCAGAAGTAAAAAAATATGATACAAATTCCATAGGAATAGATAAGTAGAAATGACGTAATAAACGTTAGATATATTTGTTGCACACTTGATAGCTTTACAACATTATCGGTGTTGGAAGGATTTATTCACGGCGGATATGTCGTCGGTTAGACAAGGCACTATGGTTTAGAATGCTTTTTATGTACCGAGCATTTGCCGAGCATAACAGTGTGCCACCAAAGTGCCACCACGGTATATAGAGAGTGCCACCAAAGTGCCACGCTCTAATTTTCATATGAATCTTAATATTTATCTTGATCTGAAAAAAATGTCCAGGCCAAACAGGTTATTTCAATTTTGACTGTTAAAGTACCGGGTGTTTGTGTTTAGAGAGTGACTGGTGAGAGATTGCACAATGATGTTTTATGATTCAAGAAATGATAAGCTTCAAACTGACTGAGCAATTAACTGCTGATAATGTCTGGTAAGACCTAGATGGATTTTGCTGAATGACAATGATAATTCCATTACGATTAAAGCAGGGCCCTGTACAAGTGTCTGCGGATGCTGCGGCTTCTGCGGCCAAAAAAGCGGAGCTTAGCTGGTGGCGAATCAGGCAAGAGCAGCTTTCTGGGATCACGTATCTCTTCCTGCAGCTCCTGCAGTCGCTCAGGAGTGGCAGTAGTGCCTTAAATGTTTATCTAAAAATTAGTACCTATCTGAATACAACTCCCTTTTCAAAAAGTGGCATTCTTATACTACACTAACTTTTGGATGGCACACATAATTCGCCCATCAGTAAGCAATGTACATTTGGCCTGGGTCCACCAATAAATGCTTTTATTAACTTCATCTAGAATTATCTTGCTTTTGGAACTGGAGGATATTTGGGCTGAGCATACCTATAAGAGCTGAGTTAAGAGGACACTCAATAGGCCATGTGTGATGAGAATGCATTGTTGATATGGAAGGAAAAGGAACTTGGATGGGTTTGAGAATGAGTTGAGTAGTCACAGTCACATATTATAATTTATATGGTTTTCCATTAGGCTATCAATTAGCTCATAAGCTATCCCTAGTTAATTTATTATTTTAATTCCATTCTATCTCATTCTGCTACCCATCAGTGGTGTTGGATGATTCTCATGCTGTTATACATTTTGATTTTGCTAGGTATTTCTACTTGGCAAGGCAATTGTTATTTGTTGGGATATGTAATCATTTGTAGCAGCAGCTCATAAGACTAATAAGCATAGACGCATACATTTATTGGGCATTTCACAACTTTTTCTTAGCCCCAGACCTGTTGAATCTATACAAAAATAAGATTGAGTGTTCTCTGAATCAGCCAGCTGCCTTTTTCCCCAGGTCTCCGGCGACTGTTGCACCACACGGCGCCCGGTCGTCAGCGGGCCGCGAGTACGAACTATGACGTCATCGTGGTGGGCGGCGGCCACGCGGGCTCCGAGGCTGCTGCGGCGGCGTCCAGGCTGGGGTGTCGTACCCTGCTGGTCACGCACAAAACGGCCACCATCGGTGAATATAGCTCCTAACATTGATGGTGATACGAACGCATTATGTCGTAATTTTTCAACGGATCCTCGTAAATTAATTTGAACGTACGGGAAACTAACCGATATATGCGATAATTACCACGAGACTGTGCTTTGAACCAGAATATGTGGATAGAAGATAGGGACTTCAGTGATATAGTTTGTTTAAGCTTGGCTTAAATGTTGCGATGTTTGCAGGGGAGATGTCATGCAACCCATCGTTCGGTGGCATCGGCAAGGGCCACCTGATGAAGGAAATTGACGCGCTAGACGGCATTTGCGCCAAAGTCTGTGATCTCTCCGGCGTACAATACAAGGTGAGCACAACCCGTACATATTCGGAAAAGTTAATGTTTTGTGTGTGCATGATATTATTCTTAGTCGTTAAAATGCACAAACGGTGGAGAAAACATTCGTTATAATTTTTAACGGGCTTCGAAAATCGAACACCATTTACCGCTAGTCGCTACGTAGCCAAGGAGGCGAATGTGTGAGTTATAAGGCGCCACCCATCTACTTAGTGTTTTGAGTAGGCAACGGCCTCTGCGTGACTTCATTCAATCGTACTTTATGATCCTCCCACTGATATTTATCTCCCCCGCAGGTTCTGAACCGTCGTAAGGGCCCGGCGGTGTGGGGTCCGCGTGCGCAGATCGACCGCAGTCTGTACCGGCGTCACCTGCAGAAGGAGCTGCTGTCGACGCCCGGTCTGCAGGTGCTGGAGGCGTCGGTGGACGACCTGGTACTCAGTGACGGCGAGCGGCCCGGTACGGCCGTCTGTACAGGGGTCCGGACAGGTACGGAGAACGGAGGCGGCCGGATATAGAGTTCGTCTTGGAATGAATGAATGAATGAATGAATTAATTAATTAATTAATTAATTAATTAATACATGAATGAAAGAATGAGTGAGTGAATGAATGAATCAATCAATAAATGAATGAATGAATGGACGATTTCTTGACGTTGTAAGTTGCAAAAATTGTTAAGCAATGAAATAAAGAAATTCATGCTGACTGATCTTAACACCTTTTTTCCCAGCTTATGCTGGTTGACTGACTAACATGTAATTTGCTGAAGATCAGATAGATGGGATTTGGAAGCGTTTGCTTAGGTACATGCATAGAATATGATTTAATCGCATAGTCGTTAAGAACTGAAGCATACCAATTGCTGATCCCCGACACCAGCGCTGCCCTTATAGCACTGCAACACACTGTGGGCTGACCTTTGACCTCCCCGCCCCTCGTTCCTGCAGGGGACGGCCGGCAGCTGAGCGCCCCCTCCGTGGTGCTCACTGCCGGTACCTTTCTGCGCGGTCAGATCAGTATCGGTACCGACCAGTGGCCGGCCGGCAGAGTCGGCGACAAGCCGGCCATCCACCTGGCTCAGGCGCTGGAGAGACTCCAGTTCCGAATGGGACGGCTCAAAACTGGTGGGTGGCTGGAGGGGACAGTGGGGTCATAAGTCGAACACGTCTGGGAATGGGTATGCCTATTCATCCCGCTTAGGGACTAGCCCACTTCTCAAACGTTTTTCGTAGTCGTGGACGTGTCCTAAGTTGAGTTCGTTGCCGATTGTCGAAATCGAAGTAGTTTGAGCCTTAGCTGAAATGTTTTGTCACTCACCCGAAACGTGTCAAATAAGCCTTCGATTATTAGGCTACCACGGGGTATTTCGTTTCACTCACGTGATTGGGAAATGAGCTGCTGATATGTTACGTAACAACTCACTGCATTAGAATTCAGGGGAACCCCTGTCCAGTGTCCACCAAGCCAGAGATGTAGTAGGGGAACGGAGATACAAGATGTAATCAAGTTCATCCTGACCTCTGATAGGAACACCCCCGCGGGTGTTGAAGCGGAGTATCGACTTCAGTCGCCTGCAGGCACACTGGGGCGACGCTGAGCCCCAGCCGTTCTCCTTCATGAACGACTCCGTCTGGCTAAAGGTAGGTCTGGATCTCAACGACTCCGTCTGGCTAAAGGTAGGTGGCGCTATCGAGGTAGTTGGTCAACCGGGTGGCGCCACTGAGTGTGAAACAGCGTCAGCCGACTCCCGGGCGCTCGGTAATCTTGAGTGAAGCTAAAAGCTAAGTTTACAGAAGTGCTCAATTTTATGGAGGTGTAATTTCAGCTGGTAATTGCACTGAAGGGTTAGGCGCGCAGCAGTAAGCAGACCTTGTTCCAGAGAACCACTTAATGTATGATGTCGTATGATAGACAACCAGGCATCGTTAAAATCCTTTTTGAAAGGATTGCATTCCCAATCCACATTCCTAGTGCCGAAGTGGATTGCATTCCTCCCCGCAATCCCCTTTTTTCACTTGGATTGTGATCAAATCCGCAATCCTTTTTTGCAATCCTGTTGTATTATTATGTGCACTAGTGGATCTGGGGGAGGGAGGGGGGCATAGGGCCGTGCCTCCATCCCCAAATCACCCATTTCTAGTACCTAGTCTTGCGAGTAATTCCTATCTAAGGGCGGCACAGGTATTTTATGGGAAATATTTTCTGCCTCAAACACCCCCACATTTAAACTTCTACCCAACCAGTGTTTTATATTTTTAAAACTCGCCCTCAAATAGGTACGTAATTTTGCCCTTCCTATGTAGTTCATCAGCGTATATTATTTTGAGCGTTTAAATTAAAAGCGTTTAAATTATTTCAAGTTTCGAATTTTGATGTAAGGCCCTTGATAGCAAAGTACATTAAGCCGATGAAGCCGATCTCATAATTTTCAATCGCAACAAACTGCATTTCAAAGCACTAATCAAACACAATCCGGATTGGATTGCAAAAAAATGGAAGTATGATGCAATCCAATCCGCAATCAAATCCTGTTTTTTGGAATGGATTTCAAATCCAGGTGCAATCCACCAGAAAGGAATGCAATCAGGATTTTGCAATCCTGCAATCACAATCCTACCGATGCCTGTAGACGACATTGAATGCTGTATCGTGTCCTTGTTTGGCAGCCGGAGGACCAGCTGCCCTGTCACATGACCTTCACGACGTCCGAGGTGGGTGACATCGTCAGGAGCTCGCTGGATCGGAACCTCCACGTCAAGGAGGAGATCAACGGACCGCGCTACTGTCCCTCCATCGAGTCCAAAATACTCCGGTGGGTAGTCGGCCGTCTGGTAATCTATGTCCGAAAGGTGATGATGGCACCGTGGTTAAAATATTCATTCACCTTCGTCGTAGCTGTGATGATTTCCTGCAATTCTTATCAAATATAAGGTGCAATTAAATTATTCATTTACTTTTGACGTAGCTACGAAAATTGTATGTTTGTTATTTATACTGCTATTTTCGCGGTCATTTCATCAACGATGGTACCATTATATAATTATTCATTTACTTTCGTGGTAGTTACGGTAATTTCCTGCAATTCGTATCAAATATTAGGTGTAATTAAATTATTCATTCACTTTCGTTGGAGCTACGAAAATTTCCTGCAATTCTGATCAAATATACATAGGTATTTATTTACTAGCATTCGCTACAGTATTGCAGCCCGTTCTAACTCTTGTGCCGTTTGCTTTGCTGTGCCTTTGTTCTGAGTGCGTTTTATTGAACGATGAGTACATCACCCCAATTACCATTCGTGCTCCGCTCTGTTGGTCCAGTTTCGGCGACCGGAGTCACCAGGTGTGGCTGGAGCCGGAGGGTCTGCCCACCGACCCGGACTCCGACCTCATCTACACACAGGGCCTCTCGTGCACCATGCCGGAGGAGCTGCAGCTGAAGATGCTGCACCAGCTGCCTGGCCTGGAGCGGTGTACCATGGTCAGACCAGGTGGGAAACGGACCCGCATCGGCGGGTAGCTTGGTACGGAAGGAACACCTCTGTCACATACCGATGGCTAGTGGGCTGTATTCGTCCATAGCATTGCAGCACTTATTGCTATATATTATTATTGTTGCAGGTGTATGTGCTGCGAATTCGTGATTGCAATTTCGTGGGCCCCCCACTCCGACCTTATCTTTCGCATTCCGTATGTCGCTATGCAATTAGGGCGAAAGTTTTGTTTAGGTCATCGTCAAAAGATGAGGTTCTTATGAACCTATGGAGCGCCTTTCTCTGGCTTCAATTTGAACATTGCTCATCTCACAGCACCATCCCTGTACAGGTTACGGTGTCGAGTACGACTACATCGACCCGCGCGAGCTGCATCCCAGTCTGGAGACGCGGCGGGTGCGGGGTCTGTACCTGGCCGGCCAGGTGAACGGGACGACGGGGTACGAGGAGGCGGCCGCACAGGGGCTCATCGCCGGGATCAACGCCGCCAGACAGGTGGGTTAAAACGGAGGCGGGGAAGCACAGATAGGTGGGTCTGAGGCAGCGGGGACTGGGGAGACTAGCTGAAGATCGAGAGCTGATGGTGATGGGAGAGGAGGATACAGCTACCGCTGGGTGCTGATGGGTGTCTGAAAAGGGAGCTGATGCTTGATATCGTGTATAACAGCATAATGCTGTTACGCTGTATATCATCCATCAGTATCACAATCAGTGGAGGTAAATGTTTATGGTAAATGGTAAATGGTTAATTATTGAAGTTGGCGGGGTTGGGTGCCGTTCCCTCTAGGTCTACTTTCCAACACAGCTGTTGAACGTAGTGCTATTTCTCATGGACTGATTTTCTTCAGAGATGTTCTTCAGCTTTCACCTTCCTACCGATGAGTCAGCTGAGGACCGGTTTCCCAACTGACCGTTTCGCCCCGCCCTGTCTCTCTCCAGTCCCGCGGCTCTCCCGCGATGACTCTGGACCGCACCGAGGGCTACATCGGCGTGCTGATCGACGACCTCACCGTGCAGGGCACCACCGAGCCGTACCGCATGTTCACCTCTCGCGCAGAGTTCAGACTCACCCTGCGGCCCGACAACGCCGACCTCCGACTCACCGAGAAAGGTGAGCGCTCTGAGAGGGCGGCGACGTTGTGGATAAACCTCAAACACTGGGCCGAGTGTGTCGGATAGGATGTTTAGACCATTGCTACTCTCCTCTTGCGGCCAGACTGTATCTAGGAATGGGAAAGGGCGTCGGGAATTGTCTATTAGTGTCCGCCGGCTACCTAACCGGATGCGGCCTGATCGCCGATATTGGCGTACCCTAAAGCCCCGACTAACAAACAATAATGATTGCTGCGGCCATTCTCTGCAGAGGACGACAATCGCCGCATGTAGTGGTCGCACTCAGATGCTGAATATGTCGTAGGCATCGGCTGAAATCCGGCATTTCATGAAATGCCTAACCTTGAACCTGCTTGCACCTACATAGCATATCAAACCATTAGACCTAGCCTTACGTGTTATTACGGAGCGAGCGAAGCGAGCGGAGTCTTACGTAGAATAACGGAAATTTCTTAGTATGAGCGGCCGGCCGTGGTCACGCTTTTGCGAGGCTTATATCTCAGCAACCACTTGACCGATTTATACGCGGTAATTTTTGTAGGGTAGCTTCATTCCTTCTACCAAGTATTGGACTATTCCCGATGCATGTGGGTGACCCCTTATGCACGTGCCACGTGCAAAACGAAGAGGTGTCACTTTTGCAATTGTTGCAATATCTCGGTAACTACTTGGCCGATTGCGCTGAAAGTTGGCATGTAGGTAGGCACCCACTAGGCAATACATATCCATGTGCCAGAGTTGAGGTGCTGCTGCACGTGCGCACGTGCAGGGGTCGATTCCAGATCTCGAGAACGGCTGGACCGATGGCGCTCAAATTTGGTACATGGTTAGGGACCGGTTAGTAGGGTGCCGTGCAAAAGTCAGTTGGGACCCATTTTGCACGTGCGCACGTGCACTGTGCAGGGTGCCGCTTCCAGATCTCGAGAACGGCTGGGCCGATTGTGCTCAAATTTGGCACATCGCTAAAGACCGGCTAGTAGGGTGCCGTGCACAAGTCAGCTGGAGGTACCCCCTCGAAATTTCGCACGTGCAAGGCTCACCCTCTCGCTCGCTCCGTTAGTCGCCACAAAAGGCGTTATACTGGTGTGAAAAGTAAATTGGTTAGATAAGGTTAGGTTACATTAGGTAAGGTCGGGTTAGGTGTTGTTGTTTAGGTTTGGTGCTGAGCCAGCGCCAAATAATGCAACCCAAACATGGGATGAAATCCGGCATTTCATGAAAAGCCTAGGCTTTCCACGTAAAGCCTGGACATTTCAAGAAATGCCGGATTTCACCTGATGCCTACGACAAATACAAAGAACAGGTTACTACCGAGGGTTGTACGCTCGGACAATTCTTACTAATGCGAAATGCTAGCCAGCGGGACACACGGTGACAAACAATTTAAACGGTTGTCCGCAGAGACATGACGTGATGATAGCTCACAAACTACCCTCACTAGACCACTACTACGACCCATGCATTAAACATGTTCCTTGATGCGTCGACGCGCATCCATGCATAAACCATACAACACGATACCAATGTGTCACTGTGTCACCTTCAGCGTAGCGATTGTCGTCTCCCTCAGGATACCGTCATGGTGTTGTCGGGGAGCGCCGCTACGGCCACCTCTGCGCCACGCGGGACCGTCTACAGGAGGTGTCGGTGGCCCTGCAGGAGCACCGGCTAACGCTGACCGAGTGGAGACGACGCCTGAGGCTGCCGGCCGGCTCCAGCGCCGGACAGAAGTCGTGAGTTCGAGGGAGTGGGGTTTGGTGACTGACGGGTATAGGAAGCCGCCGGCAGTATCATGCCTGCTTTTTTAACAGTAGTTTTGTATGAACACCGTGGACGGGACACCTTACCGCTTACCGATCGCTCAACGTTTACGGAAAATTTTACGGCTCTCGTAATGGTTCTTACCACACTTTGTCGTCACTTTAGCTTCGTTTAATGCTATGTGTGTTATCTAATCATGCGTTATTATTTTTTTACAGTGCGTTTGATCTTCTTGGAGTTGGCAATGAGGGTGTGCAGCTGAGTCAGATCCTGGAGGCCTTCCCCGAGCGCTACTCTGCGTTAGGAGACGTGGATCCGCGGCTTCACGCTCGGTTAGTCCAACACTGGCATTTTACACTCTTAGTTAGTATCCTCCGAGAGGTACTCTCAGTGCAGGGCGGGTATCCGCGGCTGTACACTCAGTTACTCAAAAACTTTGCCGTTTCACACTCTGATGAATTGTATGTGACTGTCGGTGTCCTACAGCAAAATTATAGGAGCACTGCTAACTCTGCATAACTTTGTCTTAGGATCATATTTGACGGTTCACAAACTCCGATATAACGTTGATGAAAATAGTAACCGAAGGTTTGTTGTCAATAGTTAAAACACTATTCTTTAGAATTGTGTTTTTCTATTGAAAAACAAATCTGATTTCCCTGACAATTTGGCAAAAGCTGCCTGAGATCAGTACAACTTGATGCTCGAGAAAACGGCTGTTCCAAAAATTCTGATTTTTTCAGGATTTCCAGTGGGTAGGCATATTGTGATGTGACGTTATGTTTATTTCGCATTTCACGCTTGAATATCGGCAACTTTTTGGTTAGCTAGCGTCCTATTCGCTAAGGGTTGTTGAGTTATGTTATCTCTGAACTCGACGTTATTGCTGACATTATTTCAAACTTACTGGCCTCATATTTGCCCAGCGCTTTCAGAACTAGCTCTTTGATGCCAGTTCTGAAACCATTGATAGGATCTACCCGCATAACCTTTTAAAACATGTGCTCAAATCCCACACAATGTGGGCAATCCTGTCATGAAACTGCATCGGGCACCCTATAACTAATGCATGAACCTTTTAAATATACATTGACCGACGCTGAAGCTGCGCATTCCCGCTTACATCTGTTATCGCTACCGCGACACCTTTTCCCCTCGCCGTGGTAATTATCGTCACCGCAAGGTTCGTCAGCGCTGTTCAATAATGCATTGCGGCGGTTGCTAACTGCTTTGGGGTTTGCTAATGCACCTTGATGCCAGTCTGTTGTGTGTAATAGCCAGACAGTGGGTATCACAATGATTATATAACTGCAGGGACTGCGGTGCGAGAATAGGGTTGGGACCTATCTGCATGCTCTGTATGTTTTGGTAAAATAAAAAAGCTCAGAATTTTTAATGATTTAATTTAAAATCACTTTGTTAAAAAAATGCCTAGTTAGTTCAGAAATTAATTATTTGTGGCTGAAAACAACTTGCTTCTGATTGGTCGGGCTAATCATGACGTCACATGTAGGTATATAACTGTCTGTATATTTGGCGCAGTTGAGACATACATTTTCTATTTTTCCTATGGTAAATCGGAGTGATTGGTCGTGTTTTCAGTGTCTCTTTATTTTGCGCTGGTATTGCGTGGCTAAGAAGTTTTATCAAGAATGGCATATACTAAAATGTTCCTTTAATAATGGAGCTTCAATATCTGTGAGTTTTATTGGCAAGCGAAAACTGATTTCGCTGTTATTTTATCTGGAAATTACTCATTTTTTTAGGTCAATATTCAAAATATTTTACGGGAACAAGTTGGCACTTTTCTTGATTTTTGCACTCAAATCGCGTGCGATTCAACTGTATTGGAACTTACAAAGAAGCTTGGTGATTAATTAACTGCGTTGTTATGGCACTGTTTGCAAAGCATGGATAATGAAACTCTGCCAAAGACTTAGCTACATAGCAATGCCTCAAGTAATACGCAGGAGGGACAGAATTCAGAGTCCGATCGAGAAGAATCGGTGCAAATGCTACGAAGACCAGGCAGCTCTGATACAATAGCTAGTCGTCTCACTACTCTCACTCCATTAGACCAGCTGATTCCTGACAGCACCGACTCGGATGCAAAGATGGAGCTCATCTTCCAAGCCAGAAACCAGTTCTTTGATGGAAGATGTGATGCTGCCTCTGTCTCTGCTTTGTTGGCCACTTTGGACGGGGCGGAGCTCCGCTCCTTGCGTGAGTGGTTATTCGCCTGTCATCCAGAAATAGTTCCTTCGTTTGCTGGCCGTTCCCTGATAAGGTGCAATACGGGGAGCTGTAATCAGGGAAGTAACTTTCCACATGAAAGGGGTGCAGGTGCACCCCCGTCCCCCATCCACTAGAAGTGCACCCCCATAGGCTAAGCGGCGCCCCACACGCCGCCCCACACGATTAGCTCTAGAGCAGATGGCGAGGGTGATTTCTCGGCTACATTCCATCTCGGCGTCGTGATGCTTGTGGGCTTGGAAAGCGTCCAGTCGTATGTAGGGTAGTGTAGGGGTAGGGTTGAGTTCAATAAGGTCCTTACATTTGAAAGGTTTGAACAACCCGCAATCAGCACAACATACCACAAGTTAAATAAAAAACTACCAAACTCCGCCCAACTAATATTAATAAACATTACAGCCAAACTAATGGCCTAAATAAAAATATATCTCAAATCCTAACAGTTATCGCAGGTGATGGCGCCATGAGTTGCTATTATCCAAAACAGGTGCAAATAAACATGTTTGTATGTCCTATGTATGTATGTTTGTTTTAAAAACGTTGCAGCGGCGCTGGGAACTGCAGTCTTAGATCTGGGTATGTTTGGCATCTGCAACTCTTCATATACACATTAACCCTATTTCGGACGGGGAGACCTTTCAGGATTTTCTTGTACAATTGTCAAACGCCGCGAGACATTCAGCTCATATTTGGTGACTTTTCCTAAATGCTCATTGCGCACATCTCAGCAAAAAAAAAAAAAAAAAATGCCGGGTCAGGTCAGGTCAGGTAACCAGAGCGGGTTTGCTGACCCCACCTCAGAAAAGTTTGCAAACACGTCAGAGCTTGAGCTTTTCACGAAGTTATTTCCTCTCATCAAGTCTTCAAAACAGTACCTGCAGTATGTGTCGTTTGTATATCTCAGAATTTTTGATCTGTGACCTGAGGCTAGGTCAGAGTCGTGACCTTTACATTGCAAGCCTATGGAAAAGTATTGAAATGCGACCTGCACCTCGAGTAAACGAGTCAAAACCACCCAATTCTTTAAGAATTATGACAAATTATCTTATCTGTAATGATCCAGGTGCCATTTACTGACAGGGACACCGGAGAGGGTTATCTGAGCCGAGATCATGTGAGGTGATATCTACCATACATCAATGCTCACAATACTTACAATATTGACAATGCTTTTGCTTACAACACTTACAATACTTACGATGAGACCAGCAAGCACTCTGCCGTTACAGTTCTAACTTCTGTTTCGAAAAACGACGTTACACACATTCGCTGCCAGCATAACATGTATTGTTTGACAGTAACAAAATACAATTGACATCTGAACCCCAAACGGACCGCCATCCACTCAAATTTTATAACCCTGACCGGTCAGGGGGCGAATGGAGGTCATTTCCTGGGCATTACACTCAGCCCTTGCACAAAATATCTCACCTCACAGAGATCATTACAACAATAGCACCGACTTGATAGTGGATTTCAAAGTACTTGCATCAGCTCTTCCTGCTATTGCAGACGATCATCTCCTCACAGGGTAATGTTGTTCGGGACATGAACGAAGATCGTTTTCGGAGTTTCATAAGTGCTACTGCAACAGCCTGGCACAAAACAGGACTTGTACGCTCTTCTCTGCACTTTGCCCTTCAGTATATCACAAAAGAATTGTTTAGAATCCATCTTACGCTTCTTTCACAGTCTCCCTTGCCACCGTAGGGCGTAGATAGATTGCTGTTGCTGGTAAGTTAAGGCACGGTAGATAGAAATTACCTCGGTTCTCAACGCCTTAAGTTATTTTCATAAAAAAGAACAAATAAATGATCAATAAGATGACAGGAATGTAAACATTTTAATCGTAAAGTAGTCCAAATATTGGAATGAGCTTTTGCTTTTCAGCATCCTCCGATTCATCATCTTTATCATTTGAAAATTCGAGGTACATAAAATGTTTATCACGCGCTCATGTTAAGTGGGAATATAGTACACGGCAGACACATCAATTTTTGACACTGAACATTTCATCCGTAAATGTTTTAGCATAATTTAAAGTTAAAAACAGCGCGAATGGCAGAGTGAAGCAAACAACATCTTTCACCCATTGATATAACATGTAATCTGTGGTGCGCCAGATGCGCCATTATTTGTCAACCGCAGAAGGTGACATGTGACGTAACAGCATCAAGAGCATCTTTTTCAAGAACTTTTCAAAACAAGTTTCCTATCTTTCTTCCCCCATTTCTCTCAGCTTATTGATTTTATGAGGCAATGGTATGCACCATAAATTCTGTGAAAATAGTTTGATCATTTTCATGCATTCTTAAAAAATCGAGTTCCCAACCCCAATTGTTTCGGTGTTTCACAATTCCCGTTAATGACGGTATGTTTGTGTGTGATGCCCACAGTGTGAAGATCGAGGCCCTGTACGCGTCTGCCAGCGAGGCCCAGCAGGCAGAGGTGGATCAGGTGCGCAGGGACGAGATGCTGCTGATTCCCGACGACCTCGACTACACGAGGTACGCTGAGCATTGAACGATGTGAGGTTAAAGGGACTATCCCACATTCTAAAATGTTGTTAAAACCAGTTAAATTGTGCCCGACTTTATAGATTGAATGACCAGGAACACGGTTCTGGCATTTATTTTTCATTAAACATCTTAGGCTTCCCATATTCCAAACACAAACTTTCAAATATGTGACGTCACAGCCCAAAATTTCCTCCTTCCCCAGGCCACATTACTGTCATAAAACTGATTCTTTTTACTCTGTAGGCACCACAGCAAAGTTCAGACCAAGTTTTAAGCGATTTTTCAACGAACAAACCCATTTAAAGGTAGTGTGCCACCTTTGAAAGATTTCCCGTTTTATTTTTCCTAGGATAAGAAGCTTCTGTTTTTACCTAATATCGCACAAAAAATCAAAAATGGGCCTGGAATAGTGCCTTTTTCGCCTAAAAGTTTATCGGTTTTTAGATTGTATAACAACTGTAGTGGGCTCACCTGCAAACAGGCGTCGGGCAACAATCGCGAATGCGGCGCACTTGTGACAATAAGCAAAGGTCATTATAGTGTTACGACCATACGACGTACGGTAATGAGTTATCAGCTGTCTAATCGTAGACAACACAATGTCGAGCCTTAAACTGTAAACCTGTATTGGTATTGTTTCTTAAATTTGGCTGTCGAACATTAATTCGTGGTTTGAAATATGATTTTATGTAAAATAATTGATATGAAACAGCCGTCTCTTAAGTTATGACCCCATTACACCACACGCAAGTGGCAGAAATGACAATGATCAGCTGACGCATTTTTCTTGGCCGAAGTCAGAGCGCGCGGCCCGACGCACCACGCGTATTTGGAAATTCCGACCTCGACGAGCATCAGAAGCCACCTAACAGGCGTGTTCGAAACCGCAGGAGATGATGATGAACGGGTTTATCGAAACTTGATTGGATAAGCCTATCGGTAATAGCGATTTTAGTGTGTGCATTTATTGTTCATAGTGGTGTGAAATGTGGTTGGGGTACGACCGACAACCCGTCGGGGCGAATTTCGCACTGGGGTACTCAAAATTTGAAGAATTTAAGACGTTTCCATAAGTTTTGAAGGTATGGATAAGTTCTAAAAATCCGGTTCTCCTTATCCGGGTCATTAACTCCATATGGTCCAAGAAAGCTGGCACACTACCTTTAAATCAGAATGACTAAAGTACGATGTGACGTCACACTAACGGTCGCTCCATGTTGAAGATAGGGACTTGTACAAGGCCCATTTTCAAATGAAGGGAACGAATTTCTTCAACACCAAGAGGCCGCGGGGGTTGCAACCTAGATAGATAGTGGTTTCTGAACCTCGCCGCAAACTTGGCTATCTCAACTCAAACCCCATGTTAAAGGTGGGATAGTCCCTTTAACGGCCTGATGCACAGCCTGGGCAAAGGTGGACGCTCGCAATGTCTGCGAAGGGTGGCGCTGTTGGTTTGAATAGAGGGCGGTCGTATGTAGTCAGTGAAGCTCAGTTGATGACGGGGCCAGCTTCGTATCCAATGTATACCTGGTATAAGCTGGCGTTATCAGATTTATTACAATCTATCGTAAAATGCAGCCCGTGAAGAAGCTGGTGACTTCACTTTTTCCACATTTTCTGCTCCAAGGGATTGTGATGAAAACATTTGCAACGCATAATTATAGTGTAACGGTATTTTGACAATCGAGTCTTAAAATAGTGTTTTATCACCCCCTAACATGCACTCATGCATCATGTCTTACACGCAAAGTCTGACCTAACCTACTAATTGACATGATATATTTTGACACATGTGCCTTATTTCAGTCACAAGATCTCAATATCTATGGAGGAGCGGGAGAAGCTCATGGCCAGTCGTCCGCAAACGGTAGGTAGCCTCAGCTCACTATTTGTGGTCCTATTGTTTGGTTGCGATTTAACTGATTCATGCAATCAGGCCTTTGTGCTAAGTTATATAATAATGTATGTGGATTTACTAGGAATGTTGATTCTGGTTCCGCACGATCTTCTGAAACTTTAAGTAGAGTCATGTGCTGTTTGTCGAGCCTCAGTGGTCTCGCTGTGCTGCGTTCGGCCATATAGTGTTATAGATAATATCGTATTAAATGTTTAACACTGACCGGCACCGCTAACCGCCGCGCCCCCGACAGATCGCGGCGGCCAGCAGGATCCCGGGCGTCACTCCTGCGGCCATCGTCCGTCTGCTCAACTATGTCCGACGCCGGCCGAGCGTGGCTCAGGCCTGAACCAGGTGCTCACCGCACGACACACTGCACACCGCGCACGCATCTGTGTGGTGCACGCGACTGCAGGCCTGATGGCAAGCCTTAAGTCACTGCAGCTACAATAAGTTATCGGCAATATGTGTGTGTGGCACTGAGAGGCAATGCACGTTACGCACTCAATGTTGTATTGTTGTGAGTGTTTTAGTGTCATATACATGGATTACAGATTGTGTTCATGTGTGTGATGTATTCACGGGTGATGTTCCAAACATACGGGCTTTAAAACGATCGTGGCCTGGCACAGTGTGGATATCGATATGTGAAGTCAAGACAGGCTAGTCGACGGGAAGTTATATTTTGCCAGCTATTTTTTTTTGTGCGTGGAGATAAAACACTAAGGTCGCATGAGGTCATTGGAGCTTTTCGTCAATATCTGTCAAACAAATTGAGCTAGTGAGTTCAGAAAGGCATCTAAGAAGCTCAAAATAAGCTGACGAATTTAATGATAGATTCACAATCTTCTTCCGCCCTCGACCAACTTCGGGACTTGAGCGGCTTGAACCTGATCTTGACCTGAGATCAACATTCAGGAATCAGGCTAGCATTTTCCAGAAACAGTAAATGCCGCAAACATATAAAATCATTCGACGCGGTTGAGCATCTCGGACGCGGTGACGCCAAAATCGCAGTCTCGCCTCCATTGTTAGCGAAGTAAGTTATCAAAAACTGAACTTTTGACCTAATCTACCGGCATTTGAAGTCTGGACTGACCTCAAAGGTCACCGTCCTGAGGCATGGAAGTTGGCCATACCGGTAGCCGAGTCTTGTAACGGCGCAAATGCTCATTGTCCCGCGGAGTTCTAGCTCAGTTAGGAGGGAAGCGGCAAGAAGGGGGAAGGGGTCTTAGTTCACACCCGCCTTTACTCGGCTCTCCTGATGCTGGCTTCGCTACTCCCCGGGATAGTCAACCCGGGCGGTGCCGATCATTTACGAAACAGAACCATAACACGAGTTTTGGCAGTTCGGAGGTCACTCTTCGCAAAATACCGTGTTGTGCCAGCGTGGACCTGTTGGTAGGCCAGTGTTCACCGGAGAATATTCATTCATTCATTCACATTTATTTTGCACCAAACATTGGCAAATTCCCAACAGCTAATAACAAACAATCATCAGAAATGACAAAACCGTCATGTGTCAGCACGGAGCTTAGGTCACAGGGGTCACGGCCCCCGATGGGACGTAGCAAGTCAGCAGTCGTAGTAGGCGACGCGAAGCTTGGCTGTTGTCCCTCATCAAGAAGCGGATGCTATCTGCCAGTCCGTCTGGGGCGCGCGATGGCGTCTGTGACTGCACGACCGTGCGGCAGCTGCCTCGAGCACGGCAGAGAAGTCGCTTCCGCACATGCGAGACAGTTGGAGAAGAAGAGAGTCGCCAAGCAAGTCGGGGCACATGGCCAACTTCGTCAGGCCCGAGAGGAATGCCTGCTGGAGAGTGGAGACGGTGTTCGGACCGCATAGCACCACTTGCAGCCCGGAAGCATGCCGACCGAATCAGCTCATGTGGTGGCCGGGGGATACCGGCAGCAGCGAGGAGCGCTGAGTGGTGGGCGCGGCGAGGCAGCCCCAGCGCCGTCTTGAGGGTCGCTGTCTGAGTGGCGTGCAGCTCTTCGATGTCAGCGCGAAGTTCCGAGTGTTTGCTACGTTAGTAAAGTTATCTTTGTTCCGACGTGCCACCGACTCTCGCCATGCTCGGGAGTCGAACCCGCACCGGGCGCTTGATCCATGTTTTGTGTTTGTTTACATTTCCTTTCGCGGGCCAGCTGTTTCTGCTGCGCCATTTTCGTCAACAGTTTTCCTTTACATCACAGTTTCTGCTTATCTTCTATACTAGTGACGTCATAGAATCTTACCTGCAAGCTGCGCTCTGATTGGTCAGGTAGTCACGAATGTCTGCTCACCATTGGTCGCCACTTGTAATATTGCATGACATCACAGGGTTGCTAGGAGATTGTGTTGCTGGTAGATGGAGTACTTCATTTCTGGAACCGCGCCAATGTCACCGCTGGCCAGTTTGCAGCGGGTCGTGAGGGACGTCAGGTTGAGGTGGGCGTTATCTTTGCTTGCGGTACCTTTTCTAAACGGAAGCAGAGGTTGTTTCTGAACAAAATTTGCTTTGCTTTACGCCTGAAGATGCTACTGTAACTGTATTGGATATTTTCATCTACAAATAAGGTGAGTAGGAAAGAAGCTTGCTCAGTTTTTGGGGATCTCAATCTGACTCTGAGCTGGAAGTTTGAGTTGAAGTTGCGAGCTGTGACATCAAACCATCGGATGAAAAGTGATTATACACAATGACTTGTACTTGAAGCTTTTTCTTCTTACAGGTAAAAACAACTTGCGTGCATTTTATCACATAACTACACTACTAACAGTTTTGTGAATCTTGTGTCATAAGTTCATAAAATTTTGTTAAACAGTTAAACAATTTGTGTTTGTATTAGTCATGGTTGATCAACCATGGGGCAACTTGAGGTGCTTTTTATCATCTGGTAAACCTAAGGAAGATAGGATTTAAAAAGTGCATGTGGTATTGATAACTTAATATTACCAATTTTGCCTCCAATATGTCCAAGAACATTTATCTTATGCTGTTCTGGCAGGTCCCTTCGGAACTGTGTTTGCAGTGATCAACTCATGCAACGTGATTTGGGCACTTTAAATCCAATCTTTTATGGGTTTGCTGGACTGAAGACTGATTTTGCTTCTTTCACCCACATTGAACCGTCCCTCAAATGGGAATGAACACTTGTTGCTCAATGCTCTCTAAGTATGTCTCATAGTGTAGATATGTGATAAAAATGCTTGTATATCATCAATATTTTATTATCTCGGATTTACGAAGAGATGACTGCCTACGTGAGACATGAAAGAGCATGGAACATGCTGGCTGCAGTTAAGGCTTGATCATTTTCCTCCTTTGACACCATCCAGATTCCAGATCACTCAACCCTTTTCCTCTTTGGCTACTGTTTGATATATCACTTTTATGCCTGTTTGGTGTGGCTGTAATTAATTTATGATAGCTTCTGTTCATCAACTTTCAGTTGTTCATATTGACTTAATGCTTGGAGTAAAGTGTAGTTATTGTTTTATGCCTATCATCTGCAGAAAATGTTTGAAATTACCATATCTTATACGTCTTGGATTGATAAAAAGTGCAAGTAGGTTGTAATGTTGTGTCCCAAAATTTGCTAATAATTTGGATGGGAGGTGCATTTAAATGAAAATGATTTTCCACTTCCACCTCTAATTTTCCAGCCAGCAACATTTCACTCCCAATTTCACCAAGCTGCATCTGCATGATCATTTGCTGGCTGGCTTTTACCTCTGTTCACATTCCTTATTCATTCATTATATATATTCATTACATACATATTCATATTCATGCATTCATATTACATATTCATTCCTTATTCATTCCTGTTCACATATCTTATAAAGCAGCTCCCCTCCTCTAAAATCCACTTGTAAATGGATGATTCCTGTTTTCATGTCTTGTTTGTGCCTTTCTGACTGGCGACTTTCCACACTCAGCTCTCTTTGTAGTCACAGTGTGGTGTGAAATATCCCCCTTAGACACCCAAGCCAAAGTAATTTGTGTACCTACAGTGCTCTTTATGTGTTTCTTTTAGGAATGGTTTTCTAGCACCAGCCTGGCGAGAAAAGGGCTTGCTAATGACATTTTATTTGAACGATACCACGTTTTTTTCTGGAAATATTGTTTTTAATTCTTAGAAAGTGAAGTTCTTTGATACCATGACTGGCTGCCGTTGGCCTGTATTCCACAGGCGGGCCATTGCCCGGTCAGGATTTACCTTACCGGGTAGGAAGGCCAACTTTACCGTACATGAGGAAAATTGCCTTCTCGCGTGTCTGGGTAGTGGGTACTGCCCGTTCTAAAAAGGCAATGTTGTCTGTTGCCGAGCAAATAACCATATCGCCGACTTACAAAGCATGCGGGTACAATCTTAATCGATGATCTTAGGCTTAAGATGTTAATGAGAAATTTAATTAGGTATGTACACTATACAATGTGTCTGGCCATGAATCTAAACCACGTTTGTTTTTATTTCAGCTGACCCGAATACGATGTACGATAACACTGACGTATTTTTTCCGTCGTTTTGCACAGTTGGTGGACACCGACAATGGTGGCCGTCGACAACAAATGCCTCCTGCTGGGGGCGTTTACAGTCGTCATGTACTTTATGTGGATGGACATCGCGCTCTGGTACCATCTGCAGGTCAGTGCCAGGCCGGGGGAGAACTCTCCGGGTGGAAATTGAGACATTTAACCCTCGCCGGCCGAGGGGGGGGGGGCGGGTGCCGACCCCCCATAGGGTTTTTTCGCGATAGCTCCGAACACGCTGGCGATAGAGAGCTGAAACTTGGCATACCTGACCTTTGATCCAAGCCGCGTCTTTTGACACCAACCGCATTTTTGGGTCAGGTCAGGTCACTGACCTATGACGTCATAAGTGAACCTCTGCACGGTCTTCAGATGTCGCAACTTCGCAACGCCCTCACTGCCAGAGGAGATGTCACAGGGAAATGAAACTTGCAGGATCTAGTATCCATTATGAGTCCCACAACTTGTATATCTCGGTTTTTTCCTAAAGGTCATATGAGGTCAGGTAATTTTCGTGACCTCACCATTATAAGTCAATGGGGAAAAATTCAAACTGCTATTCTGGCGCCGGGAACGATCTCCAACTATCTCAAGCACACAGAATCGTGATTTTATGCACTCCTTGCAAGGTTAGATGCGTCACTTTTGCAATGTTGACCTTGCGTGACGTCATTTATGACGTCATCAAGGTCATATTAGTTTTTCGTCAATAACTCTTGATCAAATTGAGCTAGCGAGTCGGGAAAGCCTCCAATGGACTCAGGAAGACCTGCCGAATCGAATGATATGCGACATGACCCCTTTCGACCAACTTCGTGACCTGGGGGTGCTGACCTGACCTTGACCTGAGGTCAACACCCCAAGTTGACCTGACCCGGACAAAAAGTATATCATTCGACGCGCCTGAGCGAGACGAACACAATGCTGCCAAAATCGGCGCTCTGTGGCCGTTTTTTGCGAAGTTATTCACCAAAAACTGAACCGTACCTTGGGGCACTTGACCTGACCTCAGAGGTCACCGGTTGGCCTAGGACCTTAAAATCGGGTACCAATCTCTGCGTCTCGTAACGGCGCACACGCTCGTTTTTTCCGCGACGCGCTAGCTCCACCAGGGGCGAAACGGCGAGGGGGGGTCGTACCCGCCCCCCCTCGGCCGGCGCGTATGTAGAAGACCAATAGGTCCGGCGAGGGTTAATAGGTGACGTGACGTGCTGTCAGGGGGAAAGCTACCTTGATTCTAAGGCTACATGTAGGTGAGTCTGTTGAATTGCTGTGGAAAGTGTTCTCTCCAGGGTCATTCATTTCTTAGGTGTTGTTTTTATCCAAAACAATATCCAAAAACATCATCTCACTCTCATTCTCTCCAGGGTATATTTCTCTCAGTTGCCGTCTAATTATATTATATACGCGGTTATGTTCGCGTTTTAATTCTGCAGCCTGGGCGGTGTTTCACGGGCTGCTGCTACCACGCTGCTATCAAATTGCGCGAGCTGACGTCACACTTGTGGTAGTGTTGGAGCAATGGGCCTGTTGATGTTTCCATGGAAACCCAATTTGACACGTGTAAAAGCAGCTTGCTGCTATCACCGGTGAAACAGGGCCCAGATCTGTTGGTCATTATCCATTACTTGAATATTCCCGTTTTCAATCCTATGGCCCAACGGGTGTTTTGAATGTTGTATATCCGCATGCATTTTTAATGTGTTGTGTGAAAGCCTTTCTACGTCACACCGCCTAGAAGATATTGAAAAGCTCATGACGAACCAGCTGAGCTGTGGTTCCGATTCAAGCATGATACATCAAGATAGCAGGTCCCTATCGACCTTTCCGACGATTCGCTGGCTTGACCTTTGCACGGCGGTGGTGTGACCGTAATGCTTACGCAATTTTCTGACGTCAGACACCGTCGGATGACCAGCTTTACAAATTAGCTGTCCATGCTGACGTTTCATCAATCGAACGGCCATAACACATACATACGCGGGCAGTGCCATGGGTTTTATCAACAGTTAGCCCTCGAGTCGGATGGTCAGAGATAACCAGAATAAATAAATCGCCGCTGTAATGCGTGTGCTGAGTCTTATTTGGCCAAATGGCGTGACGGGCTCGGAGCGTGTGCCGCTGATGAGGGCCTGTTAATTATTAATATTAATTGGGGCTGTGGGGAATGGTAATCCGACGCAAATAAACCACACGCAAAACTATGTGTGCGAACTTCTTCGTTGTCGTAAGCTATTTTGCGGTTCTCTATTAGGCTCTGAAACTCTGATTTCCTTTCTCGATAATACTGCGTGTCTATTCATTATCGATTTCATTAAAAAGTAATCCAACACAGCCTTACATGTCACGCTGCCGTTGCGTTGTTTCTAAAGCCTCCCACCACCCACGCCGTGTGATATCCCTATCCAGACGGCCGGCTGGCCCCAGACATAAATAAACCCGCCGATGACATTATTGGCCACCGCAGCGGCGCGGTGACACGAATCGCTGCCACGTGGTGTCTGCGTGACCACGTGGGCCGAAATAAAAATGACGTTTTGTTGTTGGTCGATGGAGTGGTAGTTACGTGCTTGGTGCATGAGTTTATACATATGGTACACAGCGTCTTCTGACTCTTTACCGACACTTGGCTCTCTCTCTCTCTCTCTCTCTCTCTCTCTCTCTCTCTCTCTCTCTCTCTCTCTCTCTCTCTCTCTCGTTTACTCAGCTTCAGGCTTCATTCTTTTGTCTCTACATTTCACAGCTGCCTGACTGCCCCCAGGATCGCTCACTCGTGAAAACTATCCAAGTATCCAAGTATCCAACTAGGCAACCAGTGGCCCTTTGGCTCGCGTCTCCTGCTGTCCTTGGAGTGTCGCTGGGAACGCATTGACCTTGCACACTGCACAAGGCTCGTTGGGTTGCCAACGAGCGCGGCTGCCCGCGACGGCCGGCTGCCCCTGCCCCGCTCCGCGGAGGGAGGAATTATAGTAAGATGTCTGTTCGTGCAAGCCGCAATAGTAATTTGTTCTGTGAGACCCGGGATCCCCCTATTCCACACGCTGGATGGTAATGAGCTGTGCGAGGGTTCTCTTTGATGGCTGTTGTCGTGAGTATGGGGACAGGGGAGGTCCCTGGTATAGACGCCCTGGACCTAGCGTTGCAAAATGCACAATGTGCCGCTCATTTCCGTCAGTTTTCATTAGTTCCGCACTTTGCCGGATCTCTTTAATTTTCCGCTCACTGCTGGGTAGTAAGGAGAGAAAACTACTTCCCGGCTGCTCGCCCAAGGGCAGTGAGCGTGATCCGTGGCAATTGACATCTGATTGCTTCTGCTTCGTGCCAGTTGGCTGGTGTAGACTGGTCGCTTTACAGCTTCTCCCAGCACAAAATGCTGGTTCACCGTAGCAACCAGGGATGCATAGTCGATGGATTTTCGGCGATTCCGACTCTGACTCCGGCTTTCAAAAACCAACTCCGACTCCGATTCCGCAGACCTGGTAGGGCTGCGTAGTCGATGGATTTTCGGTGACTTCCACTCCGGCTCCGGCTTCCAAAATCGATTCCCACTTCGACTCTGGTCAAAATTGTCGACTCTGACTTCGACTCCGACTCCTACTCCGGAGCCCTGGTAGCAACAAATCGTGCTGCAATTTTACGCTAGTGTAGTTGACTTTTATTCCTAGCAGCAGTGTTCATTCGCAATGTGCACTCTCACAGCACCATGCACCTCAGCCAAGACTGCCACCACACGCTCGTCTCTAGACGCACCCGATCGGCATGGTGACCCCGTCTAACGACAACCATCAGTCCGGGCGTAACGGTATCCTACCCTGTGCCTTGCGGGCGCCGACGGTGGTAAATGTGACGCCATCTGTTCTTGCTGAGTTTTCTGGAGAAACATAGCGTCGGTACCACGTCACCTTCCCGGGTATGCAAGGTGCCGCCCCCTCTCTCGTCTCACAGTTGACCTCAGCTTTCTGGTATTGTTGACTGCGTTGCCTCATTGAAATCAAACAGTTCGGACAATGTCTGGGACTGTCGTATCTTTTCATATGTTCTTGCCGAAAGACGTCAGAGAAGTCACAATTTGTGTTGTGTGCAATCGGTTTGAAAGCATTTACGTCTCAATGCGTATCTGTCGTCTTTTTCGGTGCTAAACTCACCAATGAGACGCTTGAAAGTTAAGCCGTTGCTCGTATTTGAGGGATTTGACTTCGCACTAATGCCTACTGCATTGTGTCGCATTGGTGTTCCTCAGCCGAGCACTAAGTACTTATTTTTGATAACTAAGCCATAACTATGAAAATTTAGCCTCTCGGGAAATGCGCTCTAGGAATCCTGACAGCTTGACGTTTTGACAACCCATGATTTGAGGCATTCTGTCTAGACAGGCACACTGCAAAGCTAATGGAAATGCAGACATGTCTCGTCTGCCCAGAAATTTTATTAGTTGTGTCCGTAGTTTTTCCTTTATTGTACGTGCGTCGTGTAAGAAGTTCATTCATATGACGTAATGTTCTTTAACTATCTGTACTAGTAATATCCACTCGTGCACTTGTGTATTTCCTTACGTGCGTACTTTTGCTTCATTGGATGACATCAGGCCATACCTATAGCAATACGTGCGTGTCGCATGCTCCTTTCTCACATCGCCCGGCCCAGCCGATCGTTTCGTGTGACGATCGAGGACGCGCCTCCCACGGCCGGTCCAACTCCTTACACAGCTGTCACAACATGTGTTCGCTCTCTGTTTTAGCCGGGCAGCGCCCGTATTTTCATTCTCCGGCTCGGACCGGCGCCGGTGTGAGTCTGACTTGCTCACACAGTTATCTTATCGCGCTCCCCTGCGCGATAGCGCACGTTTCGGGCGAATGGCGCGGCTCGCCCGGATATCGAAGCACGTTTCATGGTGACGAAAAAGGTAGAAATGCGTCATAGTGTGACGGATAATTGCGTAGAAGTTGTTTTTAGCGCATTTTTGTACAGTGTATCTCAATTGTGAATTATGGCGCTGTATGGAATAATGCCCTGTTTGGCTCATTACAAAACATTGCATCACTCGTTCGACGATAGCTCTCATGCACATCGCACGTATCGGGGATGAACTCGTCATAAATACATGGTCAAGTGGATAAGTGGATCCTTCATCGGGGGAACGCTTTGAAGCCGTCAAAACCATAGGCAGTAAACAGTAAACACTAAACATATTCATGTCGCCAGTGCATTGGTGAGTTTTGTCTGTCAACCAAAAACGTTAACCGACACTTGTTTATTGAGCCGTTAACCAAAAACAGTCCCGTGCTGCTTTTGTTCAGCCGGCATTCTTAGATCGCTTTGCACGGATCATGAATTTGGGTTAAGAAAACGGCCGACATATGTCGGTTACATCATAATGTTGTCTGTGAACTTTGCTTTGGAGTGCAGCGTGGGTGTAGTTGTAGCACCCCTTCAGGGTAGTGTACTATGTCTACTTGTTAGGAGAAAACAATGGGGCATCCAGATGCTAGCTAGGTAGGTGCTTAGGCAAGTAGATGATTAGTGTTAAACGTTGAATACATATATTGTAGCTCAAGCCATTCGTTGGCATGGGTTCTTGACTTGTCACCTAGTTACATACACAGGAGATTTAATCGGTGTGGGAAGTTTTTGAATGGGAACTCTGAACCGTACAGCATAGCTTGCCGTCAGTCGTCACTCAACAGTCAACATTGTGCGTCGTCTCTGGCCGTAGTTAGTCACATTATGAACGCCATTAAAAACTCTGCCCAATCCCGCTCATCGACCAGCCGCTATAGATGACGACTCCTCGCCGGGTCATCGTTAAGCCCCCACATTGGCAGCTGCCAGCTACCCCCCCCCCCCTATATCCTCCACCTACCACAAGCCCGCACGAGGCTCGCCCTCACGCCCTCACCTCCGGCCCCAAACCTGCACGGTGGCGTGTTGATAGGGGCACCGTGCACAACCGGGCAGCTGTGAGCGGGCGCTGCGGGTGGGGCGTCGGGCGGCAGGCGGCAGCTGTGGAGTTGGAGTCAGGCTCAGCTCGACATGGGACGGCGAGATATCGGACGCAGGGTCCTATACACCGGTCGAACGCACAGTCACGATTCTGCGCTCGGCATGGGTCACGTGGTGCCATCGTGCTCCGTGCGCCACGTGGATGGATGAAAGTGTTACTCGATTTTATTGTCAGAATGAGGCTTGGTGGGCGGTTACAAGTTACTTCTATGTTATGACAGATGACAAGTGTTTCCCTGTTGTTTTCAAGTGGGGTGGTAGTGTAAACAGTTGTTTTTGCAGACATCTGGTGCCGCAAGTGCAGGGACGGTGACTCGGCTCGATCAGCTTCTGTTACTTCACTAACAAATAGCGCGAATAGTATAGTGAGATCACTCAGTTGTAGATGTAGTGCGGACATTTTCCCATGTACTGCTATGTGTGCTTTTGAACGTACGAGGGCGGCTAGTAGCATTGAATTTGATATGCATTTCTAATTCCACTACATAGCAAACTAACGAGTCACTCCAGGTCGTGATCTGCCCGTCTTCCATTGTAATCAGGACAATAGGATACCATCCCTCACCTGTACAGGGACTCCCCGTGATGACAACACCCTTCAGCTCGGAAAATCCCCAGTGAAAATCCCCAGTGTAGCCGGACACGCTACCGGTAACGCTGCTTTGCATTACGGGTTATGCAAACAGACAGCAGTTCACGCTCTTGGGGCGTGATTTCGGCCGCACCTGGGGCCGGGCGCCGATTCGATGCAGGTATCCTGCGCCGTGCTATCACTGACATCACTCGGTGGCAACCGAACGGGAGCGGGGCGGTCCTCATTCGGGATGCGGCCCCGCCCGGCCGGCGCGGCGCGGCCAAGGTCGGCGCGGCGTGTCGTCACCCCGACCCGGCCTCGGGGGCGGGTCCCTCGCCGCCGTTACTCGGGCCGACAGGGCTGTTTTCGTGGTACGCGTCCTTGTTCGTCTGAACTGTTGGGGTTGCACCATCTCTCTGATTTGTTACCACCCATTCGAGTTTCTCGGTATGATTCACCATGGTTTCTGCTGCATCGGCTCTTCTCGTCCTCTTGCTAGTATAACGTGTGCCAGGTGCCTGATGAGTGATGAGCCTGCATGCAGATCATGCTGTTCATCGATTTGGATTGGCGTTGCGGCTCGACCCAGCCCGAGGATATGGGAGTTTCAAATGCGGTCCATCCCTCACGGGATCCCCGTGGCGTCTCATGAATAACCCGAGGCCGACCTGCAGCCAAGTTTCAGCTAGGCGAATGAAATCCGGTCTTATGCTCTGATGTGTTGATGCGGCACTCGGCAGTGCCTTAGCCATCGTGCCAAACGCTACAGAGCTGGGACAATTGGACCGCCGCACCGCTGCGATCAATTTTTACATTGTCCCGTCCGGTCCGCCACTCGTCATGTGGGCCCATTAGCAGTTGAAATCCGCCTTTGAGCCGCCTGCCTGGGGCGTCGCCGTTCTTTATTATGATGACGTCACTGGGTCGTTAGGTGACGTCATCGGTGCCCTGTTCTTCACGGCGCCTTTGACCGTCGGCAGGAGACGGAAGTGTGCCGCCCGCGCCGGTCACGGGCGGCGTGCCGGCGCGCTCTGGGGGGATGGGGTATCGACTCCGGCAGTCGGCCGACAATGGGACCACCATCGACGGCCGGCCGACTCAAAGGGCGTCCAAAGGCCGGCCGACAGCCCAACAGGCCATGGCGAGTCGGCGAAAACAAGCGGCGAAGGAGGGAGGCGGGGCGCGCCTGTTAGATTTTGCGCAGTCTGCTTCGCTGCATGCTGCTGAAATGCACGAAATGACCAAATGACTGAATGAAATGACTAAATAGGAAATATATTTTTGGCACACATGACACAGTCACACAACAGTCAGACTTTTAACGAGTATGTAGTGCATAAGTGCTTCTCTAAGATACATTAGTGCATCGTTTTTATGCAGCCCCTTTCTAATTTACCGCAAAGTCGATTTAGCGACGTCAGGTGAAACGCAATATCGGCGTTGGTGTTCCATTTAAAATTATTGGCTGCGGGCCGGGCCAATTTGTTTAGAGTATCGACCCCTGTAACAGCGACACTGCCGGCCGTGTCCCACTAGCGGCCCTTCGAACTTCATACCCCCCCCCCCCCCCCGGCATAATGGCGCTGCCGGGGGCGCTTCCGGCGCTGCCTGTGTTTGTGTCAACGGAACGAGGTGGAGCACGCTTCCGCCACCCGGCCTGCTACCGACTCTGTATTCAGGACTAATAACCCGTCCCCGGAGAGCGAAAAACGGCGGCGGGGGAGGCAAAGTGACGCGCCGTTCATTGACGGGATGACGTGTAGATGTGACGCTGCTGGTGGTGGGTCGACCCCACCCTCTTCATTGTTTGCTGGCGGCCTCGACGACGAGGGTCAATTTTATGAGTGTTGGCATTTGTCAGCAGCGGCCTGTTATTTCATTGCGGGTTGTTTGTTCGGCGAATTCGCTTAATTGATGGTGGTGTACCCACTTCAATGCGAAAACAGCGAACATGGTGGATGCAAATTCGTTGTTCTGTTTTGTTTTATAATGTGTCGTAAGTCTTGTGTTGAGTGATCTACTGACATGGGAAAGCTGGGCGACTTTGTCTATGTTTTTATGACATTAAAACATATTCAATTAAACCGTATCTGCTTATTCCTCTTGATAACATATAACCCTCACCTAACGCTACGTCCTTTCGCAGGCGCTGGTGCCCACGCAGAAGGGCATGCTGCCCAAGACGCCGGACGGCTCCTTCTCGCTCTTCTACCCGGTGACAGTGAAGATGCTGATGTGCGATCCCATCAACCACTACATCTACCTGCCGCTCTGCTACGTCTTCACACAGGTGCGTCCCAAACTGGCGGCGTCGACTACATAGTACCTACATGCGTCTAGATGCGGTGCGGTACACTCTCGCTCCATCGACCAGAGGCCGACGCGTTTTAGTTTGTCTGGTTATACAGCTACTGGTTATGTACGGTTCTCCAGGGTATTAGTCGTTGGTCGCTCGGCGAGCGGGAGGGCAACCAGTTCCGCCCCTGTATCGCGCGACCCCTTGCTCCGCCCAGTTACGCACGAGCGTACTCCACGCCGCGTAGTAGCGTGGGGAGGGGAGGGTTAGAATGGTGGCATGTGTAGAGGCTAGAACCGGTTTCCACCCCCATGCCACCGCCCAGCGACATGGAGCGGGGTCAGTGACCAGGGCGCAGGGAAAGGTCAGAGGTCAGCTTAACGTAGAGCTTTGTGTCTCCCTCCCCTCTGTGTGTATTGACCGCACGACAGCGGCCGGCCGCCGATCAGGCTTGACATGTCAAGGTCACCCGCAGTCAACGGGCTCAGGGGGTTGGTCGAGTGCGAGTCCGTGGCTGACGATAGTCTCGACCATGTGCTATGGTGCCGATACACTAGCGTGGGTAATAAGTTTGTGTTCAGTGCATATGGCTGCTGGGGTGTGTCATCTTGATATGATGCTTTGTAACGTGTATGATACGCTTAAAACCTCGCTGGCAGTGGCCGAGAGGAGAAGGGGGCGGGGGGGGGGGGGGCGGCGGGTGCCGCCTCCTCATGTTTTTTTTTTTTTGTTGATAGCTGCGAGAGCTGAAATTTGGCAAGCCTGACCTTTGATTCAAGCTGAATTTTTATGACAGCAGCTGTATTTTCACCCTCGCCCATATTGGTGCTTTGCCAGCGTCTATCGTAAAGGGGGGGGGGGGGGGAAGGAGGGTCCGTTGGACCCCTTTGCCGTTCAGCCCCTGATCGAGCTAGAGCTTCGCGGAAAAAGAGCGTGTTGCCCGTGACGAGAGGAGGCCGATGATACCCAATTTTAAGGTCCTATGTCATTGGTTGACAGGTCAATATAACTCAAAATTCGGGGAATCGGGACCTGTTAGAGCTTCGTAAAGTGAAGCTGTTATAGGTTTCTGCAGGGTGCTGATCACGAAATTCAAGTTAGTTTTGATCACAGATGATGTTTTCGTGCGTTTAGGCCAGGTCGGGTCAGGTCAGGTCAGGTCACATGTTACCAGGGAACCAAAACTACTTCTTAAATGTTCAAACGGTTTCTAAATGCGAAATCAACTCCGAAATCTACCCTTGAAACATGTAAAACTCGAAAGAGTGAACAAAGGTCATCAAAGGTCAGTGACCTGACTGACCTTCACGTGATCTTGATACCCACGAGAATCCATGGGATCAACATCCTTTCACATGTTTGATCGCTTAAAGCCACAAAAAGACAATAAAACGCGCTCTACTCGAAATACGCCAAAACGCGTTTCCGGCCAAACATGGTCTCGGAAAACAGGTCACAAGTCAAAGGTCCTTTGAGTCAGGGTTATACAAATTATAGGGTAGGCGTAATATTGATTAACTCGAGGGTACTGAAAGTTTCGTCGTAATCAGCCGCTTTTTGCGAGAGTTATTTGCGAAAAAAAAACTGAGGGTAGGAGGTCTGTTCGACACCCTCCTAGTGTCAAACATCGTTAGTGCGAAGGTTAAGGTCAGGCCGTTAACCAATGACGTCAAAAGTGAACCTCTGTAAGGTCCCAAAATGTCGCGACGTCGCAGCATCCTTCGTGCCAGGGGACTTTTCAACGGGGAATGAAGCTTATATGATCTACATAGTACTATCTCCCAGAGGCCTCACAAATTGTATGTAGGTAGCTATCTCGTATTTTTCTTAAGAGTCACCTGAAGTCAAATCGGTCAAGCAACCTCACGATTATCAATCAATTGGGAAATATGAAAGCTGTTATTTTGGCGCCGGCAGCCATCTAAAGCTGTCTCAAGCGCATCAATTCGTGATTTTATAGAATTTTTGCAAGCCCCAGCATTCACTTTTCCATTCTTAAACCCTCGCCCGTAAACGGTGTTTTGCCACCTTCGCCCATGCAGGGGGGGGGGGGGGGGGGTTGGTGCGACCCCCCTGGCGTTTGAAAACGGAGCGTCGTAGAGCTTAGCGGAAAAGACCAACGGATTGCTTTCAACGGGATGTCGCGATTGGTGGTATATTTTTTTGGTCCTAGATCAATATTTGACCTACTTATGACCGGTCAAAGGTCAAATTTTCGGAAAAATCTAACTTTTTCAGATTTCCGCGCCGACTGCGGCAAAACGGTAAGAGATATCGACTTGAAACCTTCACTTTTGTGATCCTTGATCAATTCTCTATCGTTTGGTGTGTATTTCGATGTCATAACTCTAAAAATGATGCGTTGGGAGCATCGGAAGTCTGCAAGGTCATTTGTGCATTGGGTCACGTCAGGCGTGTGACGTCACTGACCTGACCCTGACCCAAGATGAATTACAAGAAACAACCGACGATGCCTGAAATGGATAGCAAATTCGAATTCAGGGCATCAAAATACTCCGAAAAGGCATACAAGTGCAAGAAGTCATTACAGGTCAACCGAGGTCACTGACCTTACCTTGACCTTTAGTAACCTTCAAAATGTCAACGGACATTGTGCAAATGTCAAATTAGCCAGTTGTGATTCTAAAACAATCCATCAGTGTGTCAGGTCAGTCGGCATTTATACCAATGTGAAACAATCTCCAATTTAGCGTAAATCTGGCCGGAGGTTGTTCCCTTTATGACGTCATAACTCCGTGACCTGACATGACCTTGACAAAAAAATACCAAAAGTTGCGCAAAGAATGCCCCAAAGGGTACTGAAAATTAGAGCAGGCTATCTGAAACGGTTCGGCGTGTGGCTAAGAAAAACCTCAGGGGGTTGCACCACCCCCCCCCCCTACATGGGCGAGGGTAAAGTTAGGCGACTTCATTTATGCCGTCACTAAGGTCACAGGAGTTTTCACCAAAAAGTCCCGATCAAATTGAGCTGGCGAGTCGGGAAGCCATAGTGGACTTGTGAGGACCTACCGAATCGAATAAGCGATATGACCTCCTTGAGCCAGCCTCGTGGCCTGAGTGACTCTGCCCTGACATGACCTGAAGTGAACACCTTAAATTGACCTCAACGAAAACAAAGCGTATACTATTCGACGCGCTTGAGCATGCAAAACTCGATGGTGCCATTATCTTGGCTCTGTAACCACTTATGGTGAAGTTGTTTACCAAAAACCGATCCCGCGACTTGGAGCACTTATACTGACCTCAGAGTTTATCAGTTGACCTGAGACATTCAACTTGGGTACCAGTTGCTGCATCTCATACGACGCACGCGCTCAGTTTTATACGCAAGGCGCTAGCTCGATTAGGGACAAAAAGACGGAGAGGGGTCGTAATCCCCCCCCCCCTCGGCCGGGGTATATGAAGAAAACCCAAAATTCCGCTGAGGGTTAAGCACTGAAGTGATATATTATGATGCGAGAAGGTATAGGTCAAAACAAGTATGCACACGAGCGGATGTGAGTAAAACTGTGTTTGAGGTATGCCTTTTTATTATACATTCGATTTGCTTTAGTTATTGGTAAGAACAGATACAGCCAAGAAGAGCGCCCCTGAAGAAAAAGGTGGCGCACCGGACGGGTGCGATTTTAAAGTCTATAAGGTCAGTCGTGGACCTCTAAGTTCGGATCAAGCGCTGCATGTTAGGGGTAAAAAAATGGGGGCAAAAAAGCATCCCGATTTTGGCAGCATCGTCATGCTTTGTCACGGCACTCATCCACTCCCTCGGCCGAATTATTATTTCCTTTTTGTATTGAGTTCTGGCATAATCCCGCGCATTATGCTGCATGTTGTTTGCCATGAAAAAACAATGCATGTCCAGCTACGTTCTACGCAGTACGCACTAACCTAACCACCATCCCACCATCTACCACTAACCGCCATCCCGTTCTGTGCTCCCTTCCACCCCACACGAATCAGCCGAGATACTAGTCAGTCGGGCTAGCGCTATCCTATTTCTGAAAATCGGTTCGGATTTGATATACTCTCAGCAGTTTTGGTCGGTATCGGTTTGGTATTGGTTTCCAAAATTTATGAAATTGACATCACTACTAGCCACCATCCCGTTCTCTGCTCCCCTTCCGCTCCACACACATCAGCCGAGCTACAAATCCACCCCTCCCGTCATGACTGCACAGCGCTAAAACCCAGAGCCGAGACTTCCCGAGCGCGACCTCTGACCCCACGCGGTCCGAAGGGTCGGCCGATGCCTAAGGGCGCGCCGCGCGCCGGCCACCCGGATAGCCTCTGCCGAGTCTCCCTTTCATACACCGTTTACTACGCGCTCGATTCATTCATGATTCTGTGTTTCCTCGTTCCTCTCGTTAGATGGCTCTACTGATGCCATAGGCGATCCCAGGAAGATTGCGGCCAGAATACCCCAAACGGCAGAAAATGAGGTTTTTGGTGAATATCTCGGAAAGTATTTGGCATACAACGATGCAATTTCACAGTTTCGTGGTAAATGTGCATACACATAATTCGGGTTGATACTTATGCATTTGAACATTATATAGGACCAGGTATGTCCGAAAAAGCAAAACCAACAAGACTTTTACTGGAGAACCGTACATACGCGAGCGGATGCAGTTCTGGGTCACCGCGCGGGTGGACGGTGCCATTTGAGTAGTGCGTTTGGTAATTGATAACGCCATCCGGTGCCGATTCAGCGTGACGGCTTTGGACGTTTTGGTACGGTAACAAAAAGTGTGTGAAAATGACAGTGCACATCTAGTAAGGTTATCAATGGGTATCCGGACCAAACGAGCCATATAACCCCGCGATTGAAACGCGACTCATCCCCAACATCATATACCCTGCCACACCCTTCACAGAGCATTGCTGCTGGTGTAAATTTGTGTCTACATGTAGCAGAATTTACATGGCATTAAGTCCAATAAGAATTTTGTTGGTGATTTAAAGGCTGCTAGATATTTGGCTGGTGCAATTGTTATCCGTACTCTACATTCTAAATGCATGCCTATTCTTCGTCCATATTTTATTGTATTTGATCCAGGGCTTTGTGCCATTTTATATAAAAGTAACACAAGTGTATCCACGTGACGATTGTCACCCGGTTTTAGGGAAATCCATTCCAGCAAAACATGTTGCTATATGCCAATTTTGGCTTCTTTAGTACGATAGAAAAGGTACATAGGTATGGATGCTGCCCAAATGTAGACTGCTTCTTTTGCCCTTTTGCGAACTCCTAAATACACGTCAGACCGGAAACACGTCAAAATAATTATCATATAACGCATCATGCTGGTTTCTATTTTTGCGAATCCAGCGCTCCATGGCTCGGCGCACCGGCTTCAGATTGCACCCACTTAACCCTCGCCCTGGCAGGGCATTTTTCATAACACGGCCTGGCAGGGGGGGGGGTCGATGCGACCCCCCCTCGCGATTGGCTCCTATGGCACCTAGAAACACCAAATTTGGTAGGTAGGTGGGCCCCCTGGAGTTCTCGCCCCTGTGCAAATTTGGTTGCTCTAGGTCAATATTTAGGGGGATTTTGGGGGGTATAAATGTAAAAATTTCGCTAAAAACAGGTCAAAAGTTTTTCGCTTATAACTTTTGATCTAATTAAGATAGACCAAAAAGAAAAGCATCAGTGAACTCAGCACGTCAAGGCGCGTCGAATGATATACTTTTCAGCTTGCTTAAGTGTACTTAAAGTTTTTCTTAAATTTTAAGTAAACTTAAATTAATAAATTAAGTTAAAGTTAACCAAATTGCATCATATCGCATATCATTCGATTCGGCTGATCACCAGGAACACATTGATACCATTTTTTAAGCTCTAGCGTCATTATGTGCCAAGTTATTGGCAAAAACGTCATTTGACCTCAGTTGACCTCATTTGACCTGACCCATGGATAAGTACACCAAACAAAGAAGCACCAAGTGACCTGCTGTTAAGTACTGTGGTTTAAAAGCACAAAAGTGATAGAACGAAGCGGATATCTCCAGTATTTTCCGAATTCAGTATTTTCCCATAGGCTTAACATTACGACGTAATGACCTCTAACTGACCTCAGGTCAGTGACCTCAAAAAAACCGAACTATATGTTATACAACTCGGTGAACTTAGCACATCCTGAAAGTTTGAAGGAAATCCGTGCAAAACTGTGAGTTGGACAGGTGCAAAAAGAAAATTGAAATTTGACCATGACCTTGTACCGGTTTTTCTGACCTGGTGACCTGACCCAAGGTCACCCGGACCTGAAATTTTCAGGTCATATGTAAAAAGGTTGCCCCATAGGCTGTGCCAAATTTGGCGGCGCTGCGCGCCGCCGTTTTTACGCTATCTTTGAAAAACCTTAGGGGGGGTCGCATCGACCCCCCCCCTGCCAGGGCGAGGGTTAAGTCTGTCCAAGGATGGTGTATAAATTTTAAGAATTGTAAGGACGTTGTCCGCAAAAAAAAACTAGCTTGTCTCCAGTCTCCTCCTCCAAATATAAAGCTATTGCAGCAAAATCCTGCAATCGTATTCGTCATGCTCGCTGGCTGCTGAAATAGCTCGCAGCATTTGGTTCCATTCACACCTAAACATAGATCGCATTATCCCTTAGGCAGGCCGAAAACACTCCGCCATAACTGCGGAATTATTTAGGTCTTGTTGCAATCACTCGCCAGCTTATATCCGGTCGCCATTAGAGCCATCATGCCGCCGGCAAGTCAGATGAATATCTTCCAAAGTTGGTGTCTGCGCTGCCGAGCTCCTCTCGCTTGTTGCTGTGCTGGGAGACCTACCACTTGGGATTAATCGAAACTCATGAGGCGTACGTGAGGCGTAACTGTCTGCAAGTCAGCCAGTTACGCCTCACGTCTCTTAGTGGGCCACATTGCACAATGCACATGACTTCCAGCTTTTCAGAGGGGGAAATTGGGGCGGTATATTTATACTCGTCTGGTTTTGGTTATATCTTTTTCGCTATATTTATTGCTTTTTTTGGCAATCAGCTCACCTATAATCGGATCTTTTTACTGTACTGTATGTATTTACACACTTCTATGGTACACACATTACCATAGCATTGCTTGCAGCGTGCACTAGTTTCAATGTATTTATTGTACCGAGACGTTCTTAGAAGGCAATGCGTTCGCCTTATAGCCGAATCATCACGTGGCCTGTTGCTCGATGTGCAGTAAAACTTTCTTGATTAGTTTGCTTCTTTGAATACGTCTTGGCTATCCAAATCACCCTACCTCTTGTTTGGCGGCGCGACGTCTTTAGTGGCATGTGCGCGCAGGTAGTGAATGAGCACCAGGATGGGGCTATAGGTATGTATCATTCCTGCCCACCACCGGGCGCTCAGCTGCCCGCGTCCATTGTCGGCAGTCGGCACCCATGTTCGTTCAGCTGCGTATTGTCGTCGATGGCGTCTGCCTACCTGCCTATCGACCACCAGAGCGGCTGTTTTCGGCGTGTAAGACCGGTCACCTGTGGCCGGCGCCCAGCTCATCGAGCGGGCCCGGCAGCGGTCGCCGTTAATTTTGCGGTGTCCAAACACGGGCCGACGGACCGACTGTGACCGGTGCGACGGCGCGCCGCGCCACTGTAATTACTGCGCCGCCATCGACGACAGAGTCGTAAAACAGAGTGACCCGGCGCGGAGGGAAGGCTGCGGCACGGGTGGTGCACTTAGTGATCAGGTGGAGGGCGTTTGCTGGAGAAATTATGGGGTCGTTTTTTGAAACAATAACTTGAAGTACTGGTGCGATATGCGTGCCAGGTTAGGTACTAGGGAAACGCGGCGAGGATCAAATATCGTAGAAATATTCGAAGCTGTGCGCGGGCTCGGTCCGTAATGCGTGTTCACTCTTCGTTTGCCCCAGTTTCGGGTCGTGCCGTCGCATGGTAATCGCCACACATTCTACCCTCCCACGCTACGCCTGCCCTAGTCCGCACCATTCATCGAATAATGCAACGCGTCCATTGGCAGCGTGCAGGCACCTCCGTCCTCGCTGAGCCAGGCAGTGTCTGGTGCCCTGTAGTATCGCTCGGATGGATTTATTTACAAAATGCCCCCACATGCTTCCGTTCTGTAACTTACGTCACGCTACACGGTAGCTCCGTAGACTTCCACTTTGGTTACACTTCACACCCGCCCCCTCACACTCGCGATTGACTCACAGTACCTACCAAGCAAATCTCACACAAAGTTCCCGCGAGGATTTCCCGTCTCTTTCTTTCGCCTTACTTGCTCACATCTTCCCTCTCACCTCTTTCGCCCTTCCTGCTCATCTCACCCCATCACGACTCACGTCTCACAGCTGCTCCCTGTCTTTCTGCCGTCAGGTGACTCACTTCACGGAGACGTTCTCGTTCATCACGCCCAACGTTGTGAGCATCTCTCGTGTGTTCCTCATTTTGCCGGGTCTGCGGCTGCTGCTCTCCGAGTCGCTCGGCTGCCGGCAGTCGGGCGTGGCCATCATCCTAGTCGGCGAGTGGATGGACGCGCTGGACGGCTTCCTGGCGCGGCTGCGCGCCGCCAACCAGGCCATGACGTCAGAGGTGGGCGCGCTGGGATACTACCTGGACGGTATCTGCGACGGCGTCAGCGCCGTGGCCATCCTGGTGGTGTGTATGGTGCAGCTGAAGAGGCACCCGCCGCGGCAGAGCGGCCACCCGCTCCAGCTGCCCGTCATCTGCAATAAGGTGAGGAGAGGGGAGTGGTAATGGGGAGAGGGAAGGGAGAAATGACAGGGTGTTTGAGATGTAGCCGTATGTGGCGAGATGAGATTGAGTCAGGTGGGGTCGAGCTTGAAACGACAAACCAAAGGTGAGGGAGTTTCTTTGTAGTTCAATCGATTAAAATATGGTGAACTGAGGTGGGTTAGGTTAGCTCAGTCAGTCTTTGGTTCTGTAGACCACTGACCAGCTGGGAAACGATCAGGCAGGTGAATAAGACGCAATGGAAATTACTTAGTGCTGCGATTAGGCCGGCCAGACCCAAATGGCAATGCCCGTATTCAACACTTCTCTGTGCCATGTGAGTCGAAAAAGTCCCGAGGGGAAATTGCGCCGTCTCCTCTGGGTCTGGCAAGCATGGTTTCAGTTTGTCAAACAGGAAGTCTGAAGTTTGCTTGAAGTTGAACAAGCTCGCTTATTTGAACTTTGCAAAGCGGCTGTAACGAGTTCTTACGGCGTAGATATTGGGTGGACCTTGCGGTGGTTGGAAGTGGTTCACTTCCACTGGGACATACGAAGGCAGAACTTTGTTCTAGACGTTGAAAGGCATTCGTGGCCCACCTGAAAGGGCACCTATTGTTCTCATCTTCCATGAGAATGTCCGTTAACTTGTTTCTGTACATCATACCTTGCATCATACTCTTGTATTCACAAACATTCTGAATTCGGGTTGTGATTTCCTTGCACACTACTTTCTTGGTATCCTCTTCCTTTGCCGTGGCACCTGTAGTACCGCTGTAATAATTTTACCTTTTATGCACAGAGTGTGTTCATTGTTTTCGTGGTCCACCTATATTCAGTGAGATCGATCAACTACTGATGGCCAAACATTTGTAAGGGTGAGCTAGGCTGCTGAACGTGCGACTATTCATAATTACTGGTGTGGTGAATTTTTGATCATGGAATGGAGTGGATCACGCATGGGGCGGTCCTGTTACTCCATTCAAATGAGCGCTTTTCACTTAATCCATTATCCCAGTTCCGATGGCGAGATATCTGGTAAAATGTTTTGCTGAGAAACGTGTGATAGGTGTCAATAGACAATGACGCCAAGTTCCAAATCCTACCTCACTTGCTGAAAGTAGAATACCGATGTGTGTCCCTATAGCTTTGTATTTCATATTTATTCGTTAATGAAAATGTATGTTGATGCTTGGTGTTGGGCTTTGAGAAAATAATGCATAGTAAATTACAGAATACCTTATCTGAGCCCATTTTCATTTCACATAGCTCGTAGTAAAATAGTTCGGATTTCAATCAGAGCGTAGCTCAGCCACGTCTTTTGTGGGCATGTTCATTGTAGTCAAACCTCTCGGCTTTTCCGATAGGCTGTTACTGCAAATCTTCATCGGCTGCTACTGCCGAGGACTGGTGGATCGATTTCGCGGTGTTCAATCAGCACTCGCTGTAGCAGAGCATCAGGCCCCGCGACCTCGTTGTAACCTCGCTCGGCCCTCCATTCGAATCCATCCACGGTGAATTGCGGTGCATTCGATGCCCATCACTGCGCTCTGTTGACTGCCACCGCACGCACGCAGCGCGGGGCCGCGTGCTCCAGTGTCCCCTCCCCCGGAGCCGGCAGCCGGCCTGGCCCGGCCGCGGACCGCCAGCGCTGCACCGTGCGTGCTGTCGTGGCGGCAACCGGTCACGATATCGGCCAATGATACTGATCTGTCGGACCATCCAACGATAGACGTCATTATTGGACAGACAGAGTGGGTTGCTTTTTTGCGGGGGGGGGGGGGGTTCGCTGCTTTTCGGTCCTCAGCTACAGATAGGCGTTCGCTGATGAATCCTCCTTCACCGCCACACAAGTTTAAATGTATCTATAAGCGTGTCTAACCTGATAATTAATGCATAGGATCGGGAGAACTAACCGGTCACTGTGACTTAGGTAATAGGTATTTGATGCTCTCATGTGCTTTGTATTCGAGTCTCATGAACAGTGGGCTATGAACCGCACCTGTGACCTGACCTTTTGCGGCGGCAGGCGCTATAGCCAGTAGTCATCTTTCATCCCCGACAGGAGGTCGTATCTCAATCCATGGGGTGAAGAAAGCACCGGGAATCCCCTGCCTGAGTAAGCGGCTGACGCAGTCTTCAGCTGATTGCTCTACCGAGCAGAAAGGTATCCATGTCGTTAGCATTAAGCATTTTACCGTCCCATATGCGATTTGACGGATTTTCGCTATGGATGCCGCCATGACGCTGTGTTGGTTGCCATAGTGCTCCGCTGAACATTGCGTGCCCCTCGCCATCATTCAGCCCTTCGCCTACTAAAGGTAGAGGCAGTAGCTCTATGCGTTTGCGTAGCGCGTGTCCCCGTTCCTTCATGATTTATGGCCGCGTCCATTGAGCTGCCCGTGGTGGGCGATGGAACTATTGCCCTGCGCTTCTCAAAACTACTTACGTAGATTGCGTGACAACAGGCTGTCCGGCGGCCCAGCTCAAATTGCGCGTGTGCTTTCTGGATTGTTATCGCACAGGTGTTCCGTTTCATTATGTTCGTGTTGGTTGACTGGGGGTTGCCATGTTAGCTTCATTTAAAACCCTATCACAGGCGTTACAAAATTACGAGCCATGCTTCTGACACGCTTTCCTAATAGCCAATTAACTCTGTTGACGGTTATGTGACCGTTGCGAGTCTGTGCTGTATGGACGTTGGTGTTGCCTACCTTCCTGTCTGAACTACATGGGACCCAGCGCAAAACTAGCAGTCTACCTGGTTCTGCAGGGGTTTGTGGCTCTAACAGCGGTACAGCTAGCCCTGCAGCGTTTATGCCCCGAGCAGCGTTATGACTAGACCTGGTGACCTGGTCAGTGAGGTCGAGTCAACGGGTCAGCAGGTCAGCGCGCGGCACCTCGGGTCTAGAGAGTCGGCAGCTCGCGTCTACATGAAAGGTCGGCAACTCGGGTCTAGATGGCTGGCAGCTCGCGTCCCCAAGGCTGGGAACATAAGTTCCAAAGGTCTCTGGCAGATGCTCAAAGGTCCCTACGGAATTTAAGGAACTGATGAATGAATGAATTGAAGATAAGGACCACCCATAGCGTCGTCAGCCCACGTGCATAGAGTCAACAGGTCGATTTCAAGCCCCAGCATGCCGTGGCCTGTGATAACTGCTGACTGTGCTCGCGGAAAACCCGGTCAGGCGGTCAGACGGACCCTCCACAGGTCAGCCGTCTGTTGGACCACGCCCGCGCAGGTGGTGGGCAGGCGAAACTCCGCCGATTAGATAGGGCACTGTGTGCCGACTCGCTCGCCGACCGGCCGACGGGGCCTTATCGGTGTTGGTTCTCCTCACCCCGGAGTGCCCATTCGGCCGGTGGTCGGCCCCATGCGCCCCACTGGCCGGTGAGTGGTGCCGGTCGAGCACACATCACCGGTCGACAATCGATGATACCGACCCTCGCCCGCTGATAGTGGGCTCGTAACGACCGACCAGGCTCCGCCGGCCGTCAATGAAGCATCCCTCGGAGGTGATACTGATGGTGGCGGAAGACAGGCTATTGACAAACCAAACAAGGCAATGGGTGCGACTCGGTAGAACAGCAAATAATACTCGGACATTGAACCCATGCATGGGGACGATGCTAATGCAAACGCTGGCGTGGTAATTTAGACTTAGACCAACACTGCGCTAAAGAACAGACCATGACAGAGTGCTCGTGGCGGTTTGCAGCGAGCGAGGCCTCGGCGGGTCAGGTCGTTAGTGCGTTGGATGGCATTGGTGGACAGGAATGCAGGTCCGGAGTCCGAACCACGGTGCCATGAGCACAGCTTGGTCTTACAATCCACGCTGGCGACGAGGGTCTTTGTGCAGTTGTAACTCGGCTAGTTCGCACGCCTGCAGTTTTGGGTGTTGTGGCTCTTCTTTCGTTATTCTAGCGCGGACTTGAGCAGAAGAAAGAAAAGAAGAACCGTAAAGCCCTATGAAATTCTAGAATCAGACTTTTCTATCCTAACACTTGTATCCCGGCAGCCATTATTTTGAATTCTTATTGGAGCTATCTTTACCTCCCTGTTGGAGTTCGCTCGAATATTTGGCGCCAATTTAGTTTGTTGTGTGCCAATAACGACTGAGGGAGTGTTGGCAGCGGTGGAGGGTCAGATTGGCCACGTGACCCAGCAGGGCCTATCCCAACCCACCACGTGATGCCGTATTGGCACCATTTGGGGTACGGGCATAGCAACTGACATGGATGTGTTTCACATGGAACTGATGCCTAGAAGACAATAATAATTAAAGGAAGGATTTGGAGTAACTTCGGTCTCTTGAGCTCCATTTTCCCTATCTTTTAGTCTCCACTGCTGGGGATGTGCGATTCGGGTAGTAAATAACGCACCCACACCATCGTTCAAATTGTCAGAGCAGCTGCACTATCAGAGCAGATAAGCCAGCTCATGGCGCTGACAACCTAATAGAGGCCAGCAAGAAGATATGGTAGCCTTGTGCGCGCATTAGCTGGCTTAACATGGGTGACAAGGGCTGCTCCTGCAGCAGTGTGTCTGCAGCCTGCATATTGCATTCATTCGGCCGCATGGCCACTCGACAAGTGTCACATTAAATATTTAGCTGAACCTCATCCAACGCGTGGTATGTTACGTTGAAGTCACAACATTGGCTGCTGCACAGCATAATAAAATATGTTGGGTTTGTAGGTTCTAATTATAACTCAGTGGGAATGAGGCCGTCATTAAGTAACTTAGTTGTTACATTGCTCATGCTGAACCCTGTACTTCCCTTTCCGGTAAACCCTCCCGTTCCTCCCGCTAACATCTGCTTTTCCTCTCGGTGAACTCTCGTTTCTCACCGTCGCTCGATTACATCGGTGACCTTTGACCCCTATCTCATTCTCCTTCCCCAGGCCTCACCGCTGACCCATCACGGTCTCCGCTGACCTCGCATGGTCCCGTTAATCTCTAGTCTCCTCTAACATCAAAAACCGTCTCTGCTGACTTCTTATCCTCTCCGCTGACCTCTCATGATTTCAGCTGATCCTCACTGCCTCCGCTGATCAATGTCTCCACTGACCATTACGACCTCCCGTGACCTCGCGTTGACACCCTAGACCTCTATCGTCTCCTTTGGCCTCACATGTCTCCTTTGACCTCTATTATCTCTGGCCTCCCAATCTGTTCTCTGGCCTCTGCCATCTCATTTGATCTCTTACTGTCTCCGCTGATCTCTCGCTGTCTATATGACCTCTGACGTCTCCGCTGACCTGTCAATGTCTCCACCGACCTCCCATGGTCTCCGCTGACCTATTATCAACTCCTTGAATTCTCACTATCCTCTCTGCCCTCCCACTGTCTTTTCTGGCCTCTCACGGTTTCCGCTGATCTCTCACTGTCTCATATCCTTACACCCTTTCCTCTGACTTCCATTGTCTCCTATCCTCTCGCCTTTTCCCTCCGACCTCCATTGTCTCCTCTAACCTCTCACCGTCTCCTCTGACCTTTTTCGTCTCCCTCTCTGCTTCCAGGTGGAGAGTAAGATGCAGGAGAGCAAGGAGAGTCTGCTGGGCGGCGGACCGGTGGGCGGACCGCGCGTGCCGGTACCGGCGCGCGCCATCACCATCACCATGTTCCTGTTCGGCTTCCAGCTACTGCTGGCGTCGGTGGGATGGAACCACGCCATCGCCGGATACCAGCAGCTACTGGAGAATGGCGACGGTTCGCATACGGTACGGGTGGGGTGAAGGGAGAGGTGGAGGCTAGAGGATGGGAGAGGGGAGGGAGAGGGATAGAGCTGAAGGGCGATAGAGAGGTGGAAGGACGGTAGATGGTGTAGAGGCGAGGATATGTAGATCAGAGAGTAAGACCACCAGGCTGGGATGTGGGCAGTGACTAAATAACAGTCAGAGACATAGAGACAAGAGGTGAATCAAGGACATATCATGCGGTCAATAACCGACGCTGAGCACGGGATTTCGAAACTTTGGGCATAGTTTCTGCACATAACTGTAGAGCGTGACCTAAGGAACGCGCTCCAAGAAGTCATAGTTCACTCTGCCTCAGAGGTCACAGCTCGGTCAAACGCAATGGACGTCCAAACGCGGCCTCAAAGCTCGACAGAAATGAGCTTACTTACTTCGTAGCGGGACTTGGACCGCAGACGTCAGTCCCGACCGGGCTGGATTTAGTTCCAGTTCCCCTGGTTCTGTTGACCATACCTCGTGGCTGGCGCGAAGCCACGAACAGCAAATGTCTGGCAAAGATCGTTGTTCTGACCTTCCCCGAGGGTGACGATCTTCACACGAATTCACACGGCCGGTTATGGGCGTGAACGTGATGGCGCCAGGCTTCTCACGAGTCACGTGTAACCTTCACACGCTGATGGTACATTAATGCTCAATGACAACTTCACACGCCCACGGGTGCACGACCGGGCTCAGTTCGCGTGGCTTCATAAAACATGCATCCGAGTACTTTACATGAAACCCTGCCCGCTTCTTCTTCGTTTGGTGAAGGGAGTATTGGTGACAAGAAGCGGCCACGTCTTTTGTACGGTCCGTAACGATTTATAATCTCTGCTTGCTTCAAAATTAGTGGCCGACTTATTGACCGCCCTCGCTGTATATTACGTTGAATGTTTTCCCAGTTGAAGCCCAGAAGGCTGGGCTCAAATTGCATTTGACTGACGAATAACACGCCATGCATCTTGTGATATGGATTTTCCCGTCACCATCGCTCAGTCTCGCCGGCTTTGAACTGTTTTCGAAGCTTGACTCGTTTTCATTGCAGTTTTTCAGCGACACTGGGCGTCGAGCTGGGTATTGATCACACAGACACACTTGCGCACTCACATACAAACGCGCACTTGCGCACAACTCATCGGAGGTTAAACTTGCTTATTTAGTGGTCAGAGTCGTCCGTTGCGATGCACAGCGTGCGTTACCTTCGTTTGTGAACCGGACTTGTTGGTCCGGTCGCCAATGTGCCGTTAGGTGTTGCCCGTTACGTACGGTTTGTTCAAATGATTTCCAGACACGAGCGTCGCGTGATGGCTGCCCGAAACGTGCGAGGCACACACGACATGTTCCGACAGCGGCGACAGACAGAGTTACCGCGAGCTGCGCGTGCCCGACCGAGGGGCGAACGGGTAGCTAATGTGCGGCCTGCATGGGGAGCGTGTTACACTTTTCCGTCATTCGCTATTACTGCATACACTTTCGTGGTGCTGGGTCGATGTCAAAGTTGACTTTCGGCGTCCGATTTCTAGATGATAGTTTGTTATATTTTGGCCTAAATAAAACTGTTTTTGTTTGGCATAAGTTTTGCATAAGTTTTGATGCCGTATGCTTTTCTGAACGATGAACTGGACATACTTGAAAGACAAATCTAAATCTCGTTCTTTCTGAAGGTGAATTCCGAGCTAGCTGAAATAGTTATCGAGCAGCTTGAGATACAGTGTCACCTGCCCACCTGTATGTTCAGCTCTCAGAGCTGCTTTTGGCACAATTACCTATGTTATCACCTTGTTTTGAAAGCAAAAATATCCGATTCACCTCCTGGCTCTCGCTTTTCCTATCGTACCAATCTCAGGCGGTCCTTGCAAAAATGGTGATATGATGCGAGGTATAATGTGTTCTTGTGGCCTCATTTTGCGTCTCAACTGGTCATCGTTATGCTAGTTGAAGCCGCAATGTTCCGTGCTGACCGCACCCCCTGACCGTAGCGTATTGACCCGGCTACCAGAGTATGTAAGTTATGATTGTGTCCCTGTGCCTGTGTGGCCCAGGTAACAGTTTTCACTCGGCTGTGATTGATGTGTGCTCCACCGCTGTTCCATTGTGCGTGCTGTTGGGACTGTGTGGCAGTGTGTGTATATCGGCTGGGCACTGAGCAGTGGGCAGCCTTCATTATATATGTGTATGCTATTGTGTGTAGATTAATGAGTGTTTTGAATTGACGCGCGACAAAGCTATGCCTGACAGCGTTGCCAGTTACCACGAAAACAGCACAGCCGATGTCGTAAAATTATGCATTGTTGATCGATATTACGAATGGTTCTGGCAAGACATTTCCGCTGTAATTCCAGATAATCATACATGTGTGCATGTTGTGTGGGGCCATTTATTACCTGGCATCATTACTTTCTGGAACGGTGTCCTTGTGTCTCAGCTATTCACCAGCGGTCTATATGTGTTCGCAGGCGAAACAGTTGGCAGTGCTACAGGCAGCCTCCACTTGGATTCTGATGTGGTTCTGGCGCGTCGCCTGTTTCCACATGCTAATGCACTGTTTCCTCATAGCGGTGTTCTTCGATAAACTGTGGGTGAGTGCTGAGGGCAGTGTTGAGTTGTTGAGTATTCATGGAAAATGGAACCGTGAGGAAATGACATGGCGACGAGCTGAATGGGACCACATTTTGTCCATTGTTGCTTAGATGGTGATGCAGTTCATGTGAATGGACTATATTGATAGATCGTGATAAAAGCTACGTGCTTCCATGAGCTAACGTTATAACAACTCTTTTAAATATGAAACAACGGACTAATATGCATTATTTTTCATTGATACTCGATTTCATTTTGATATACTTTTGGTCTGAATGGTTAAATGGGTGGGTTCGGTCCCTACAGCCTGTTGCATAGGACCACGGGTCCACCAACCGACGACCGCCCCAGGACCACCGATCTGCTGGCTGTTGGATGACACATCTTTCACTATATATTTCGCTATTCGCTACATCGGCTGTGCAGCTTGAAACTTGACACGACTGGAACTGACTTACTCTTGCCGTTGCAGGAGTTCCTGACGAACCTGCGGTTTATCGGCTACGTGGCATTAACAGCGCTCATTGTTCTCAACGAGCTGCATTTGCAGGCCATTCAGTCGTACTTCTAGCTGGGGTCCGTCGGTACGCGCGCGGGGCGCCCCCTGGAACCGTGATGATCGTTATGCTACACCGCCGCGCGGCGTCCCTGTGAGGATCTTTGGTCTGTAACCGGACGCTGCCGCGGTGTGGTAGTGCCGAGTCGGGTGTGTACTAGCTAGTCTGAGAGGCGGCCGAGCTGTCTGGGGGTGTCAAATGACTGAGCTCTGCGGCTGAGGCAGCGCTGACTTTAGTGGGCATTGTGCACTTTGCAGAGCCGACTGTGGCGTACAGGTGGCGCCTCTTGACTGAGCTTTGCGGACGCGCCGCCGCGACTGGGCGTACCGTCGCTGTGAGGGAACCTGGGGTCCTAGTCGAGACAGAAGTCAGGGGCTGCCGTCCATCCTACTGTGTACCACTAGTCCGCTGGTGTGGCGCTCACGATGCCAACATATGCCATGGCGATCACGCTGTATACTCGTACTGCGCGTGGCGCGCGCTCTCTCCTTTCGAGTGTTGTCCGCGTGCCGGGCGGCGGAGCTTTGCCCGGCCCGTGGCGCTGCTGCCGGCCGTCATATCGCTGCTGTACTGCGCCGAGTCTGCTCCCGCCAGCCGGCGTCGGCACACGCACGGCATAACCTTCCATAACGTGATTGTCTCTGTGAAAAAATGAACGTGTACCTTTACGATGCAATCATTGTTACGTGTTATTGTTACTAGAGCTGTCCCGGTTAGTGTCACATAGCAGCACACTGTTTAGCCTATAGGTGTCGTGTCATTTGGGGGAGGTGCGTGGCGGCATGATTCCATTTTGAACTGTGAGTTGTGGTTTTAGAAACGTTTAGAGGAGCTTAGAGCCTTTTGAGAAGCAACGTCTCGAATTGCCTTTTCTCGGTGTCAATTGTAGTGTGTGATGTTTGGTCATGTGATTTGCGTACAGAGGTAGCTTTTGCGTGGGTGCAGGCAGCAGCAGCTGCGTTGTTTTCTGAAGTGTACTTTTAAATATAAAGCTAATACATATTACATGATTTATCACAATGTTTACATCAGGTATTTGTTTATGATTTATCCGGTTGCATCAGCGATTTTAGTGTCATCTTACTGCATTAGCGTCGCCACGGGGGGGCAAGCGGGGCAGCTTGCCCCCCCAACCTCGGACCGGGCACCCCCTGAGATCGATACAGATCCGATGAGATTTTGGAGTCGCGAAAAAATGGGGGTACCTTTCTGAGAATGCCTGTGAGGTCAGACTCGTTCAAGCCAGAGTCGGAGTCGCAGTCGCCAACATCGTCAAAACACCGACTCCAGACTCGGAAGTGTCAATACTGTGATTTATTTCATGTTCCTCGTTGGTTTTTTATTACATTTTATAGCTGATTTTCATAAGTTTTGAAGTGCTGATACAAAATTTGCGTTCAAAGCGTGACACTGAATCTTCGGGCCTTTCTCAACTCTCGTCAAATGTCTGCGACAGACTCAAGTACCGTTCAAGTGCCACAGGGCTCATGACTGCTTGCTTTTCACACAGGCTCCGAAGGAGCTCCACTGAGCTCTAAGAAGCCTTCAGAGGGCCCAAACCGGCCTCTGAGAGTCCCACTGGCGTTCATATTCTCTGAGGGCCCATACAGGAATCTTTGAGGACCTTACACATGCGTAGACCTCTGAAGGGCCACACGGATCTTTGAGGATACTTTCAAATATTTCTGAGAACCTTAGGCCTCTGATAGCTCAGCCGAGCTTTTGAGGCGACAGATTTTGCTGAGCCTAAGCCTGCAGTTTAGGGGTCACGACTCGGGTGTGCCTCTGAGGGTCCCAGCACATGTTTCTTATGTCCCTATGTAGGGTCCTTAGGGATTCGACACAGACCTCCAGGGTTCACACTGCTATTTGAGGGCTCCCTGCTCACCCTGGGCCTGGTCTCTTAGCGCCCGCCGCCGGCGCCGCCCACACTGGCTTCTGAGTGTCCCACCTTGGGCTCGGAAAGCCCTAAAGCACCACATATGTACACGTAACTATTTGGGGTGACCAGCGCCGATTTTCAGGATCCTAAGCAGGCTTCTGAGAGCCCACACTGACCCTGAGTGGCCTAAAATGGCCTGGAAGTCCCAAGCCTATCGCTAAAGGATCCCTTGCCGCTATGCCGTGCGAAATTTTGGTTCCGTTAAACGTCTTTTCTTCGCGTTTGCAGCGCTTCCCTACACACGGAAAACGAGAAACTTTTTGTTCACACTACACCTCCTCTCACTGGAGCAAAGATGAATTACTTCCGATTCACACTTCCGACATTCACTCTCCGCTGAAAGCCCTACTTAGCTTCAATCGGCGGCTGGGATAAGCCCTATGCATTTTACGTAGAACCTCTGCATGCATGCGTGAATGAAAGTTTCAGCAAGGTGATTCGCTTAAGCTGAGCGTTTAACCTTTTTATGATCATGAGCGACGAGCGTCTGCACAGGGGCTCTCCAGGGTGCGTCGGCAAGCGCAGCCATTGTGATTCTACCGGTCGTTTTTTGTTCAAAAATTTAAAAAAATAAATTTTCTGTAAAAAAATGGCAAGTCATAGCTACAAGGAAAACCTTGTCACCATCGTATTCCTCGCACCATTGCGCGTTGAATGATATGTAAAATGAATGAGTAACGACTGGAGGAAGGCAAGATTTAACCATAGGTGGGCACCGTTCCCCAAAATTGTAACTTCGTTACTCGTTCCTCCGTTCCCTCAAAACGTGACTTCCGTTACTCGTTCCTCCGTTCCTCTGTATATAATGTAACGGAAGTTCTTTTAGTCCGTTACTCCGTTACAGCAAAATAAAAAACGTTAAAATGTTGGGTATTTCAAACATTTTTGAGACCATTCTGACCCAACTAAACCTACCGAGAAAGCGGAATGCCCACCGTAGCGTTGTCAGCGTGGCCACGGACCTTTTTGATATGTTCTGGCGTTACCTTTTTTCCATTGAAAAAACGTACAAAATTGAAGTTTACTTGAACCCAAATAAAACTGGCGCAATGTGTACCGCCACCTTCAGCTTCAAAACGTTCCTTGTTTCAAGCTCTATCAATATCAGTCGGCTAATCGTGCATTTATTAAAAACTGAGGTGGTACCTGGGGGGTAGAAGCACCCAAAGTCGGGTCTCTTTAACGTTGGGTTGGTGGTGAAATTCAATGATTTGGGACTTTGCTGGCTTCCTCGTCTTACATTATATCAGTGGGTACGCCACCTTCAAGCTATACTGATAGAGCTATCAATTCTAAAACTACTGGCGCTTGTTTCGGCATCATTCGACAAATACCCAACTGGTACCTTGGGGGTAAAAAAAAACTTCCGACTGGAAAATATAGAGGAAGGTCATGAGTTCAAATCTCATCGCCGACGGAGTTTTTGCGTGTTCGGGTATTAATATGACCGAACGCGTTTACCACTAACCACCGATATCTTAAGAGCCAATGATCCCTACCAAGTCCCGCGAGGTGACATTCGATAGGACTCTCCAAGACCTTTCCAAGGCGTACTTAATTTAAAGATCAAGGTCAGGCTTTATGTTAAGCATGCCGCTTCTGTATGGTGTAGCCCACGGCCAGCAATATCGGCGGCCTCTGCTCGAAATTCAGCCGAAGAGAGCGTTTTGAACTAGTGTACATAGATACTCGATCAGCAGAAGTGCGATAATAAGTACGTGTCCGGGGTCAAAGTTAGAGTCTTCAAAGAAGCAATGGCGCCCATAGTGCTGAAGGTGTCACAACAGTGGAAGAAAATCCTCAGAAAATAAGACATTTGTGATGACTATTGGAAATATTGAAAGACAATATTGTAAAAAATATTTTTAGGACTCTGTTGATTGTATTTCAACTCGATTGGTACTACTTCATTCGCCATGACGTCTTTTATTTTCATGGCCATCACTACATCCCCCAATTACGGAACGGCTGTGCGTGCGGCCCGGGTGTTCCGTTATTACGGAAGGCGCCCAGCTGGTGGCCGCGCTGACAACGCTACGCCAAATCTACCAAGGCAGTGGGCACTGATTGGACACTAAACCTTGGAACGTCTGGTGGTACTGATGCGCATCACTTGTCCCCGGCCAGATGCCGGTTGCACTTCACGAACACTAGACGTTCCAGGTTGGCATCTGAGAGCATAGGCGGCGGAACGGGGGGGGGGGGGGGGCACCGGCGCACCGTGCCCCCTTTGATTTTGGCATTTTAACATTAGCCCTATGTGCGTTGCATGGAAAGAATGGGACAAAAAGTCGGCAGTGCCCCCCCCCTCTCCCTTAAAGGGACTATCCCACCTTCTAAAATGTTGTTAAAACCAGTTAAATTGTGCCCGACTTTATAGATTGGATGACCAGGAACACGGTTCTGGCATTTATTTTTCATTAAACATCTTAGGCTTCCCATATTCCAAACACAAACTTTCAAATATGTGACGTCACAGCCCAAAATTACCTCCTTCCCCAGGCCACATTACTGTCATAAAGCTGATTCTTTTTACTCTTTAGGCACCACAACAAAGTTCAGACCAAGTTTTAAGCGATTTTTCAACGAACAAACCCATTTAAATCAGAATGACTAAACGAGGTGACGTCTCACTAACGGTCGCTCCATGTTGAAGATAGGGCCTTGTACAAGGCCCATTTTCAAATGAAGGGAACGAATTTCTTCAACACCAAGAGGCCGCGGGGGTTGCAACCTAGATAGATAGTGGTTTCTGAACCTCGCCGCAAACTTGGCTATCTCAACTCAAACCCCATGTTAAATGTGGGATAGTCCCTTTAATTGAAGATGTTCCGCTGCCACTTTCTGAGAGGGTAGCCCTTTTTGCACGTAGCACATCTTTTCCCATTGAGAACATGCGCTCTACTGAGGCGCTTGAAGGGACGCCCGTGTTGAACTTTGCGAACACATACTGCAACGCCGGCTCATTGCGGAAGGCCAGTACACTGTACAGTGTACACTGAGGCCATCTTCCGTCTTCAAGTCAGGGCTGCTCAATAATCCACTATTCCGCTGCTGCATTAATGTCTGTGGGTTAGCTGAAAGATCAACCCGCTCGGACAACGAAAAGTAACGGAGGAACGAAGGAACGGACTAAACTGTTAACTTGTAACGGAGGAACGAACAACCAATGTAACGGAAGTTACTTGGTCCGTTACCCTTTTTAAAATGTAACGAGTCCGTTCCTCCGTTCCTAAAAATTGTAACGGCGTTCCGGAACGGAGGAACGGAGGAACGGATCGTGCCCACCTATGGATTTAACACAAAAGTTGATTTTGCCCCCCCCCCCAACCGAAAATCTCTGGCGACGCCTATGTCTTAGCGTCAAATAGCTTTTGGCTTACGGAGTACGGACGTCATTTACGTCATTCACGTCATTTACAGCCGCGTGATTAAATCGCTGATGAGAAATCATTAACAGGCAATGAATGAACGATAGATTGCTCAAACCAGATGTGATATTTTCTGGTCATCACTCATCATTTATACCGCGTTCGATGTCTCTAGGATGACGAAGATTCTACGTCGTCCGGCCAATCCCGTTCAAGGTCAGCCGGGGCTCGGCTGCAGTTATGAAATGTCATTGGCCGGACGGCGTAGAATCCAAGGTAGAAGCTTCGTCGTCCGAGAGGCTTCGAACGCGGGGTTAGTCGATTTATAAGCAAAATTCTACAACCTCAACACTGCTTCTGTGTTTCAACTTTCAGCTTTGCTATTGGAAGGTCTTTCCTGGGTGTCGACCAGGCTCAGGCCGGTTTCTTTAGCGCCCCAGGTACTTGTTAGGAATATGACTAAAAATGAAAATAAAATTAGAAAAAAGGACGGAAAAACGGCAATAAGTGGCAAGTGCATTTTTTGCCGGCGCTTTTGTGCCCGGTTCTCATGTGACGTCACAAGATCACCAAAGATAAACATGTGACTTACAGTCACGTCATTTAAAGGAAATAGTTCACTTTTTAACATGGGTTTTGAACTGGAATAGCAGTTCCGTAGCTTGGGCTGAGACGAGCATAAATCAGGAGCTTTTACAGCCCAACGATCACCCTAGGCAAAGATATTCTATTTCTCGTCCCGAAAAGGTGTCTTGCGTTGAGGATGTGTGCCTTGCATATATTTCCATCCAGTATGAAAAGAGCATGGGTCCCGAAAATTCTTCAGAAACTAGAGAAATTATCTACGAGAACTCTAGAGAAATTCTCGTACTGATCAATTAGGACATTCAGGGGAACATTATCAGATCGAGCAGATCGCCCAAATGCCGGTGGCTGCGATAATTTCTCTGTTTCTGAAGAATTTTCGGGACCCATGCTCTTTTCATACTGGATCGCGTGTGCCTTACAGAAACTGAAAAGTTCTTCCTATATCAAAATATAGAAAATAATATTTTGTTATAAAAAGGTTTTATTTTCTTTGCTGATTATTTTGAACATAAAAAATCATAAATCTGTTGCAAAAAAAAAAAATAATTTCGTGAAAGTGAACTATTTCCTTTAACACGATGTTGAAAGTGCGACAAATTCGACGCACTGGGAGAACAACACAAAAAAAAAACATTGTTGCTGCGCTGCTGTTTTGCTGTGTTGTGATTTTTGAATATTTCCAGTTAAATCTGTTAAAATTAATAATGCAGGTCAATTGGAGCAATGGAAATGTCATGTGTTGAAGACAAGTTCATGATCAGTCTTGTTGTGCTTGACACTGATTGTCAGAATGTTGCGGTGGAAGTCGACCTGCAGTCTGCGCGCTCCATTCCAGTGCCTGGCCCAGGCCAGTAATTAAATTTGTAGTTTGTGTGAAGACCTCCACATCAAATAAGGTTTTTGTTTTGCTACTATCAACAAAAATGTCACTGGGCGGTAGAAGTAATCCAGCAGTGGGAAAAGCTGATTTGAGACGACTTATGCAGCAAAAGAAGCAAGATGCACTGCTGCAACGTCCAAAGAAGATTGATTCTCCACTTGCAAAATATCCTTTACTGCAATCTTCATGCTGTGCTGCATTAATCAACATGTTGAGATCTACTGCCCAATCTCACCAGTACCGTAGAAATGATTTGGCAGCACTGGCCGGATGTTATGGCACTGATATCAAAGATGCCTCTTTATTTGCATTCAAGCTAATCTTGCCCAATTATTTTGATAGTGTGAATGATCATAAATGTCTCCTGAAATTTGAAAGAAAACAAAGGAATGCTGAATAGTTTTGAATGTTACCAAATGCGGTAAACTCATATTTACGGCATTTGGTGGGATTGAGCCCTGGAAAGGATACTAATACCATTACTGTAGCTCTAACAACAAGCTTATATCAATATTTCATTGTGAAACTCTGAGCATTTTTCATCAGCTCAATATTCTTTTTTGAGCTCATCATTAAGAGTTTGAGTTTGTTAGTGGTTTCAGTGGAAGATTTAGGTTAATCTTTCCATCATTGATAAGAATATAAGTAAGAGTAGCTGAGAATAGTAAAGAGTAAGAGGTGATACTTAAGACCTTTGCAAAGCCATTCACATTTTGTACATATCTCAAGTGCTGCTGATTAAAGGAAATAGTTCACTTTCACGAAATTATTTTTTTGCAACGGATTTATGATTTTTTATGTTCAAAATAATCAGCAAAGAAAATAAAACCTTTTTATAACAAAATATTATTTTCTATATTTTGATATAGGAAGAACTTTTCAGTTTCTGTAAGGCACACGCAATCCAGTATGAAAAGAGCATGGGTCCCGAAAAATCTTCAGAAACAGAGAAATTATCGCAGCCACCGGCATTTGGGCGATCTGCTCGATCTGATAATGTTCCCCTGAATGTCCTAATTGATCAGTACGAGAATTTCTCTAGAGTTCTCGTAGATAATTTCTCTAGTTTCTGAAGAATTTTCGGGACCCATGCTCTTTTCATACTGGATGGAAATATATGCAAGGCACACATCCTCAACGCAAGACACCTTTTTCGGGACGAGAAATAGAATATCTTTGCCTAGGGTGATCGTTGGGCTGTAAAAGCTCCTGATTTATGCTCGTCTCAGCCCAAGCTACGGAACTGCTATTCCAGTTCAAAACCCATGTTAAAAAGTGAACTATTTCCTTTAAGAGTAGATAAAAGAGTCTTTCCATGTGACCTGATCACCCAGGGCCAGGAGGACCATGTAGCCATCTACCTGTGGTTTGTTACTCTTGATCAAAATTGTCACAGGTGGGCTGGGCATGGGCAAAGTGTTTATATAGCCTTGGGCAAAGTTGAGTGGTGATTCCATGGTGTCATTTGTATCAAGCACTGATAAGTGGGCCACCCAGGCCCACAGGCACCCAGCCATCCATTTGGACAAAATTTCTAGAAAAAAATATAGTTAATACTGGTGCAATTTCTCAATGGAATATGCTCAGTTACAAGATATTAATTCAAGCTAATGATGGGTAGGATCATTGAGATTTTTCATATTTATTTCAGTTTGGATATTAATTTTTAATGGCATCGATGCCATACATTTTAATTGGTGGCTAGTTTTATTCTGACGCATATGTTGATTCGATATTAGAAATTGTATTTTATCAGAAATTATTTTCTGATTTTATGATTTGATTGATTTTACATTGAATGCTTTAGAATGTATTGCTTTCCTTAGTTGACAAAGCGTCTGAATAAATTTTGTTTGATTAATAAATTGCATTGTTTCAATGCAATAGGAATACATTTAAATATATATTGGGACCTATTGATGATGCCAGACAATGATGTGATGCCAATATTGCAAAAATATGGCAGGCCCTTCCTTCACTCATAGGTATTCATAATCTTACAGCCATCCAGCACGATTTTTATCATATTATTTTTTTGGCACTCCACTTAGGAACCCATATCATTTTTAAGGCGTTTGAATATTATTTGGCAAAATTAAAAAAGTTTTGGTGACTTAACGCATTTTAGTGTGATTGCTCTTCAACGTTGCATGATGAAGGCATAAATGAACTGCATTACTCTCTAAGCTGCGGCCTGGCCAAAGCTGTATCTGCCTGCATTATCTGTGTCATTTCCTTAACCGTTGGCGGCACGTATTCGTCGAGCGGCCAGCTCAGCTGCGTGGCGTGCCGCGCGCCGGTGAAGTCGGAGCTGATGTGGACGGCGCACCTGGCCAGCCGCTCTCACCGCGACCAGGTGGCAGCACTGAAGAGCCGCCAGGGGGCCGACAAGCGACCGGCCGACACCTCGGCCGCGGACACTGCCGGGGCCAAGCACAAGAGGCACAAAGGTGCGGACTGGGATTCCTGGGGCTCGTCTCGGGCCGGAGTGGGATGGGATGTGGAGGGGTGGACGAGTAAGCCACCGATACATTGGATTCTTTTATTAGTCATCAACTTGTTCGATACTACCGTGGTCAAGTCATTCGCCTCTGTGAACAGACAGTTGTATTCATTTCGTGTATTTTTTTCGCATTCAGCGTATTTGCTAGCCCTTTTGGTTGATCAGCTTTTGTGTATGCTACATGACTTACGTCGATGCATAAGCCCGGTTTGTTCTTATTGTTGGCTGTGACTGCTCAAACAAGACATAACATTGATGATGGGCATTTTTTTGACTTCCTTTTTGCTCCTGTGACGTCATCTTTGACCTGACCTGAAAATGACCTCAGTAAAAATAAAACGTTCCACGACAAATCGACAAGTGCCCTGCACCCTCATATTTTATTTTTTGCTTAAAATTGGTCTAATAGGTTGTGATGGACGGGGAAGCCAGCTGTGGCAAGGATTTTTTTCTTCGAACAACGGTTTCCGAGATATAGCCTCGGGCAATTCCTGGATGTCGCGCTGCAACCCTATGTTTGGCGGCCTATAACTCAAAAACTATTGATTTTCTACGATTAAAACTTTATATGGTTCAACTCACAATCAACCAACAAACATTTTGGCTATTTCGGATTTTCAATTTTTGAAAATTTTGATGACGTGACCTTTTGACCTATTTTTCGAAGAGTGACCTTGATATTTTCCCCACTGAAAGTTGCAATTTTGTCTGATGACGATTATAGCCTTATCAATTGTCATTCATATGCGAAAATAAAAAAGTGGATATCGCCCTGCATTGACCTCAGGTCAGGTCATTTTTATGACCTGTCCATTATTACGAGCGGGAGTGACAACGAGATCTCGAGAATAAAGCAAGATAGCGACAAGCGGTAAACGGTGCAGGGTACAAATGGATAAGGTCTATAATTTTTACTGAGGTCATTTTCAGGTCAGGTCAAAGATGACGTCACAGGAGCAAAAAGGAAGTCAAAATTGCGGCACTACATATATATGAAGTTTTTCTCGAATAACTTTCAAGGTATCCCAGCTAGGAACAAACTAATATCACCATCGTGATCCTCTCGTCGATCCGCATCGAAACATATGTATGTTGACCTCGAAAGGTCGAAAGGTCAAAAGTTGACCCTAGGTCACGTGACCCAAGGTCAACTTTTGACCTTTCGACTTTTCGAGGTCAACATACATATGTTTCGATGCGGATCGACGAGAGGATCACGATGGTGCTATTAGTTTGCTCCTAGCTGGGATACCTTGAAAGTTATTCGAGAAAAACTTCATATATTTAATGCCGCAATTTTGACTTCCTTTTTGCTCCTGTGACGTCATCTTTGACCTCACCTGAAAATGACCTGAATAAAAATTATAGACCTTATCCGTGTGTACCCTGCACCGTTTACCGCTTGTCGCTATCTTGCTTTATTCTCGAGATCTCGCTGTCGCTCCCGCTCGTCACGTGACCGAAGGTCAACTTTTGAACTTTCGACCTTTCGAGGTCAACATACATATATTTCGATGCGGATCGACGAGAGGATCACGATGGTGCTATTAGTTTGTTCCTAGCTGGGATACATTGAAAGTTATTCTAGAAAAACTTCATATATATGTAGTGCCGCAATTTTGACTTCCTTTTTGCTCCTGTGACGTCATCTTTGACCTGACCTGAAAATGACCTCAGTAAAAATTATAGACCTTATCCATTTGTACCCTGCACCGTTTATCGCTTGTCGCTATCTTGTTTTATTCTCGAGATCTCGCTGTCGCTCCCGCTCGTAATAATGGACAGGTCATAAAAATGACCTGACCTGAGGTCAACGCAGGGCGATATCCACTTTTTTATTTTCGCATATGAATGACAATTGATAAGGCTTTAATCTTCATCAGACAAAATTGCAACTTTCAGTGGGGAAAATATCAAGGTCACTCTTCGAAAAATAGGTCAAAAGGTCACGTGATCAAAATTTTCAAAAATTGAAAATCCGAGATAGCCAAAATGTTTGTTGGCTGATTGTGAGTTGAACCATATAAAGTTTTTATCGTAGAAAACCAATAGTTTCTGAGTTATAGGCCGCCAAACATAGGGCTGCAGCGCGACCTGCTGGAATTGCCCGAGGCTATATCTCGGAAACCGTTGTTCGAAGAAAAAAATCCTTGCCACAGCTGGCTTCCCCGCCCATCACAACCCCTTACACCAGTTTTCAACGAAAAATAAAATATGAGGGTGCAAATTTAATTTTTTATTTGTCGATTTGTCGTGGAACGCCCCATAAGAAAATCTCGTAGTGTTCTTACTGCCACTGCAAGTTGTTTGACGACAGCTTCATGTACTTCCGATACGTTCCAGGTGGCAGCGCTCTTCCGGGAGACTTCTTCGAGAAGCCTCAGGCGCCGAAGAAGGGCATCCTGAAGAATGCGCCGGCGCGACCGACGTACGCGCCGAAGGCGATGCCGCCCCCTCCCCCGCCGCCGCCGACACGGAGCTCACAGCTCGGCGAGGCGATGGACACGGACGACTCAGGATCCAACGCGCATCAGCCGGCCGGTAAGGGACAGGGATGGGGAGAGGGAGACAGTTGGTCAGGAAGGGCGATGAGAGAGAGACAGGCACCCGGTAAGGAGACGGGAGAGAGGCAGGCACCGGTAAGGGGACGGGAAAGAGGGAGACACGGACATTAGGGTGGTCCATTTTGAAAAAGTTTCTAGGATCCGTCGGGCCGGGTCGGAATTCTTGTTGATACCATGACACAATGTTGTGTGCAAAATTTCATTCTGATCGGATAAAGTTATCCCGTCCCGCAAAGCGGTCAAAGTTTTCCCTATGTTAACAATAAGGGGATGGGCGATAATACGGATTCTCCCACTCAGTTCACATTTTTTTTTTACTCAATACGCACTGGCAGTCACTAAAAAAGAACAGCAAAGGAGAGAAACACATCAGAGTGGAATAGGCATTGGTGAAAATAGCATATCGGTACAGATTTAAAGACGAAATCCACCACGCGAGCCATCCTAAACCAATCTCCCGCCCGGATGCAACGCCCAGTGAAGTTACGCTCCTCTACCTGAAGGAAGTGCTGTCATCTGTTCCTTGCCGTGCGCGATGGCGCTAAAAATTTGCCGCTGATGGGGGCAACAGTGCAGCACCCGGCTCCTGCAAAGTCGTTTACCACCCGTATATGTGACGGTCGCCGACGAGCAGTGGTCAAGTCGTCATTGTACGACCCCTCGGCCGGGTCCACTTTGAGGAAATCGTGACTGGCCCCGAGGGCGGTGCCGAGACCAACATATGCAAAGGACGCCAGCGAGCACCGCTCCACTGCGTCGAGGGCGACGTCGACGCGGGAGGGTTCTTCTATCTAAGCCGCTGCTGCATGGAGGTGGCGATCGCCTGCTTTTCCTCGACCGCCGTCCTGACGCCGAAGAAGGAGACCGATGGCCTTGAGACCTTGCCTATCACCTTTCCCGGTTACCTTCCGGTATCCGTGTGGTAAGCGGCGAGGGCCTTTGGGGAGGGCGATGTCAGTTCCCCATGCTGAGGTCGATCAATGGGCAGACAGTCAGGATGCTACCTACCTTGTGACGATTAAGGTGGTGAACCGGACCATCGTCCTCTTCTCGTGCTCGGTGAGCACGAGCTGGCAGAAGAGAATGCTCTTGAGCGTGTTCATCACCTTTGCAATCCAAAGACCACGTTGTACATAAGGCAACCGGTTCCGGATGCTGGCCTCAAAATCACCGTCCATCACGACGATGGTGAACTGCACCACATCGCGGCAGTCATCCCGGGGCCGCTGCTTCATCAGCAACGCGCATCAGGTGGCGATCATCTTGTCGGCGAAATCGATTAAGTAATTGAGCGGGACACTCGTTCCGTGAGCTGCCACCACTTTACAAACCGCTTGAACGACGGGATCTCGGGAGCCCGGGGCCGGAAGATGGATGGTGATTGCCAAGTGAAAGAGGCGCCCTGCACTTGCTCGTTCGTAAGAGACTGTTTCATCCAGCAAGGATTTGCTTTTTTCTGGCTGCCAAAACAAGCCACATTTCGGTGATTGAGCGTGTGCCTCTTGCAGCTGCAGCGGCGATCCCAAACGCAGGCAGAGCCACAATTAGCGTAATGCATATCGCACCTCCTGGCATATAGTGGCTTGCTACTGGCACTGGAGAACAGGAACTGCAACAGGAATTGTGGATTATCGTTCCTGTCTGTGGCTGATAGGAAGACTAGATCTATCATTGAGAAGGCTAGAGAGGGCTGGTGCGATTAGCAGGCAAGCTCATTGGTAGATAGCCGCTGGCACGACTGGGCAATGTTGAAAGACGAATATTCGCCCTATACTAAAGACTGGTACGTATAATGGAAACTTTGACCGCTTTGCGGGACGGGAAAAAATCATCCGATCTTAATGAAATTTTGCACAGAAGCTTGCGCTATAGTATCGACAAGAGTTCCGACCCGGCCCGATGAATCTGACGAACTTTATTTTTTACCATGTAGATGTGGACCACCCTAACGGACATGCACTTGAAATGTAACATGGCAGATTGAGAGTAAGGCGTTATGGACGGAGACAGGCTGATGCCGTTTAGTTACAAAGGAGATGGAGACGACATTACGGATCGAGGGAGAGGAAGACTACAGCAAAAAAAGCGTTAGAGATTAGACGTCGAGAAATGTAAGAGGTGTATAAGCCTCTGGGAGACGTTAAGAAAAGAGCCGGATATACGCCGTTAGGCAGGTGGCGCTGGAGTGCCAGGGAGCTGCGCCTCTGGATGTCCTCCTCAATAGCCATGCAGTTGTGCTCCTAATACTGTAGTCCTAGTCAGGCAGGCAGTGCAGGTTACAGAAGGTGCCGATTGTTTATCCGGTTGGTAGCAAAAACCATTGCTGTAAAAGAGCATTACTCCCTGTTTTCATTCATCGGTTTTGAAGTAAAAACCTTTGGAGTAAAAGAGCATAACACCCTGTTTCCATTCATCGGGAAAAATGTTTGCAGTATAAGAGCGTAGGTAACTCCCTGTTTCCACACTTAACCGAATATTCTTACTACACCTTTTTGCACTCAAAATAGGCATCTTTTCATTCAATTTCGGCGAATTGCATTCAATTTTAGCGATCTCTCTATTCAAAGCAAATGAGAGATCGCTAAAATTGAATGCAATTCGCCGAAATTGAATGAAAAGATGCCTATTTTGAGTGCAAAAGGGTGTAGTACAAGCCGATTGAGGATGGTGACTGGGTCATCTTTAGAAATGTTTGAATGCAAGATAGTTAACCCGCGCCCCGTGGGGGGGGGGGCCGAAACGGCCCCCCCTGTCCTTTTCCGTCGATATCTCCTAAACGGCTGGAGATATCGCCACGAAACTTTCAGGACCCCTCCGGGCATCAATTTTACACACTGTGACCAAAAATTTTTCCAGAGGCTATGATAGGTTGGCCACAAATGACGTCAGAATGACGTCATGTTCTGCCATTTTTGACCGAAAAAAGACCTTCGCGAGAAGAGCTGTCAAACCTACAGCTTTGAAGATACAGAAAAATGATCAAGACATAAAAGGTGTGGAATTGACAGGGCTACAAAACTGCTATCTCGGATTTTTGAAATTTTTGAGTTTTGACCCCCAAAAATCAAAAATGCATTTTTGAGTTTCGAAAAAAACGGAATATATGTGATAGTACCTACCGTCTTCTATCTACATACCAAATTTCAGATCGATATTTCCTTTTTTGACGAAGTTATAGCGAAAAAACTGTTCAAAAATGATTACGTCAAATTTTCAAACTCAATTTTTGGCAATTCTAGACCACGTAGGGTAAAACAAAGACCACCATTGGACTCCCCGTGACGAGCTGCATCGAATGGATACCTACCCATTTTATGCAAAAATATCAACTTTAAAATTTGACCTAATTTGACCTGACCTTGACCTGACCTTCACCGGAACATAATCTAAACTGACCTCAAATACTTTTTGACCCACATAATCGCATTTGTCATGTAAAATGGACAATAAAACATGTATCACACGACACTTTCATATTGTGACCCCCAGTGACCTGACCTCTGTGAACTGACCTGGTATCAGTGACCTCAGATAGCGAAGTATGTGTTTGACGAACAATGTACCATCGATGGTTTTCAATAACTTACCGATTTACTCGATTTCACAACATATTTCTTGAAATGCCTGTGAACGGTGAAAATCTGACCTTTGACCTGACCTGTGACGTCATCGGTTTGACCTAGGTCAATGAAATTTGGTCACAAGGTAGTTCCCCGGTAGGGCTATCGAATGCCGTTTGAATTTTGAAAATCGGCCGGTAAATTTCCGAGATCTTAGGGGGGCCGAAACGCCCCCCCCCCCCCTACGGGTGGTAGGGTCCGCCGGTAGCCCTACGGGGCGCGGGTTAATGTAAACGAATCTGTTTTCAAGGCAATACCTTTTTTGTCCGGGCTTCACTGCAATGGAAATATCAAGGCGAAAATAATGCTTGACATTCAAAGATAAACATTCTAGGTTATATATAAAAAACGACAATGTATTCAAATACACAATTAAAAAACAGAGCTTTCGGTAACAAAGAGCTTTGTTACCGAAAGCTCTGTTTTTTAATTGTGTATTTGAATACATTGTCGTTTTTTATATATATCTGTCATGGATAACACACAATTCTAGGTTATGCTCTGGCATATCGCGCCCAATATGAAAGTACGATCTCCGGCTCGCATAAAGTTTTACAGAAGTCAGGGTTAGCATATCAAAGACTGCTCAAGCACTCCACAAGCAGTGGCGGTTTTGTTTTCCGGAGCATTTCCATTCCAATCGTCCTCCACTCGTGTTCAGACGGGCCGGACTGCAAAGCTTATTAGTCCGTCTGTGTCTTGTGGCTGTATTCCGGTCACGCCGGACCGGCCTGTGTGGATTTCTCCAGTGGGAGGGACCCGGCATCGGTATCGCACGGTCTTTGTCAGTCTGTGAGGGACTGCCCTCCGGTCCTGTGTGGCCAAGACAAAGGGAGTCTCGCGCTGGGCTTGACATCGATGGGAACTTATGACGTCACAGGAGCTTAGCTATAAATATATTAGCGGTTCTGGCGGACGCTGTCGGTCCGTGGTATGAAGGAATGAAGGAGACATTGCATTTGCGCATATGTACACGGATATTCATATTTTGCTGATCATCAGGAAGGCCAACACATTACTTTCAAAATACAATAATTGGAAGTGGAAATTTATGTTTTTCTTTCGTCTAAGCGTGCCTGCTCGCTTGAGAGTCAAACACCACGATGAACAGAAACAGAAACAAATTAAGGGAGACGGCGGTAAAGTTTTAGAAAATGGTACATTGAATAACAAATATTTTAAAGATTTTTTTCCACCTTCCAGCTTGACGGAATGAAAATGAAAGTAAAACACACGAAAAAAGAACAATAAAAACAAATCATCCATATTTTTCTTCTAGCGTGCTTCTTATTGGGTTTGGGGGTCAGGGCAACGCGCTGGACAGTAGGTTTGTTTTGTCATCCATTTTCCTTAGTTCGACTGAAACATATATAGTCAGCAGCAGCCGCCACCAAATTTCGCTACACATCTCTTATCACATAACTGACATCATGCGACTTCGTTGAGGCCATATTCCAGCTGATAGTTCCTGGGTGGAACTGCCGGCCTCGGGTTCATCGGAGAGGGGAACGGAAACGGGCCGGGGCGCCTTAGTGGCCATCACGCCGTCCGTTTCCCGATCTGACGGAGATTTCAGCCTATCTCCAGGGAGGAGAGTGGATGGAGAGACATTTAAATGTGTTTAATTTGATATGGTATGCGTTTATTCGCATCGGTAGCGCTGGTTAGATGTCAGATGGCCTGACTTACAAATGATCACATGCATCTTATTTAAAAGAGCGTCAGATTGCGTTAATTGCAAGTTTGAAATGTAACTTTAATCCGCTTGGGAATTTCAAGCGCTACGCTAGGGCAGTATAAGATATGCAGACGCCAGAATATGCCAGCGTGTGACCGTACTGTCTATAAATTCACCAGTGTCTTTATATTAGCACTTGGGGCTGAAGGTCCCTTTGGAACACGCATAGCTTGTGGCATTAGCTGAGGCTGGTGCTATTTCCGGCAAATCTTCCGTACGCCTTTAGACAGTCTCTTTACATACACTATTATAGTACAGTAACGCATGGTTATAGATCCTACTCCACCTACGTCTCGGAATGTTTTAAATTTTATGACGCATTTTCATGGTTTTACGGCTTGCAACTGCTTTTCTTATGTTACGTTTTTTAAAGGGAGATAATGAGCTTTCTTTTTTCTTAAATAAAAATTACTCGACATCTATACTATTTTAACTGTAGTTTCTATAAAATATGAAAATTTCCTAGCACATTTTCGTATGTGAAAAAGGTTTTTATTTTTGCAAAAAAGAAGCAGTACTTGCAGTACTTGTAACACCCACCGAAATGCGTTGTCCTTCTCTATAAAAAAAAGTCGCAGTATATGACGCTTTTGTTTCAAACAGCGACGCTTGGGTTTTTGTTTGTTATCGCCTTGTCGTTGCTTGGTTGTAAGGATTCTAATTTGAATTAGAGTTAATTCGGTTTAGAATTAATTAGATTCTAATTCGGGCAGGGGCGGAGAATTGTCATAATCCCAGGGGGTGCTTTTCTAGCACCTGGCGAATGGAAGCGTCAAATTCTTGCGTAGAAAAGCACATATAGATACTTTTTCCCAGCAGCATCACTCTCCTCGCGACTTACGCAAAGCAGTCTCTGTCTCAGACCTATTTTAAGCACCTCTGGAGCACTATTATATGGCGACTTTTGAATTTCAGGGGGTGCTCGAGCACCCCCAAAACCCCTAATTCTCCACCCCTGAATTCGGGGGTACATAGTGCCTACTCTTCTTTGTTTCCAAGTATTATTTTGCGCTACAAATGAACGGCAAGCGCCAGAAACGCAGCCAAATCTTGCGATTGCGACTACGAAATTCATTATTTTGGCCTCAGAGCCTGAAGCGAAAAATACAAGCATATTTATTTCAAAAAGACTTCAGGTTTGTCGAACGGTGTTATGAGAATTTTGATAACAGTACTGCATAAGTTTTTTTTTCAGTGATGCCGCAAAAGTGTTGTATCTATCTTCTTTTATTGTGCAGTCGGCGGGACCGATTCAAAATTGAGTCGTTGCTACTAAAATAGCAGCATATGGCGACAGATGATGAACAGGAAATATAGTTGCGTAAATTTAGACATACCTAAACCACCCCCCAAACCATGAATATCTTTTGAAGGCACTATAGACGACCATTAACTAACTAGATGTGATGAAGATCAAATGTAATGAATACGCTCATTTTACAAAATTACATGCAAGTACCAAAAAGTGATGTAAGTACTTATTCAACGGTCATTTTCAGCGCTCCCCGCTAACGTGACTTCAAGTTGAGATATTTGCGGCAAGGTACCGAATTGAGCAAAATGGTTTTAATTTACATTATAACTTGTTGTGTTTTGTCAGAAAATGGTCCTAACTCAGATTTTGTGGAAAAAGGTCATAATCTCCCTTTAATTTCCCGAGGAACATTCGAACTCGTTTATATTTTTACCATGTTATTTTTTAAGATGCTGTTTATAGTAGACCTTGTCATTAGCGTGGTCTTTTCTGTTTTCTATGTAGACTTAGGTACCTATTCCTTCTAATGTACAATTTGTGTACCATTTTAGATACCACTGTACGTTTACATACCTATATGGGATCTTTGCCAGTCCATGTATCATCCAGATAAGCTGGGACGACGCAGTGATGTATGCTATTGTCCCAGAAAGCTACTGGATGTTGTCATCTAAGAATGGTCCCTAAAAAGAAGAAGTTGAAAATATATACAGGCATCTCGTATGTCTGTCGACTTTCCTAGTCTCTGTTCGTCTTGGAGTAGTGTGGTGGTCCTAACTAGTACTTGACTCGAGATGGTGATGTGCTTTTCTCGTAAACCAAGCCACGGACGCGTGTTTACGTCAGGGAAGAGTGTCCAGGAAGGAGTAGAGAGAGCCAAAGAGGCTCAGAAGTGAGCGGTTTGTTTTAACTAGCTGTCAACAAGCCGATAGTTCAGACAGTTAGTGTTTAACTTGGCGAGTTTCGAAACAACGATCGTTACAGCGAACTGATTTCACCGATTCGATTGACTTCTGGGTCTGTGCGTTTCACATGTGTAAATGTACCATTCTAATTTGTATAAGAAGCACACTTAACCCGCGCACCGACGGGGGGGGGGGGCGGATATCCGCCCCCCCCCCTGAGGTTTTTCGCGGATAGCGGGAAGAAATTTGGTATGACTATTCTCTCATCAATTTTACACATGGTGTGCAAGTTTGAACCTCCTAACTTTTAAGGTCAGGTCACCAGGTCACTTTGAATGACCCAACCTCAAGTCACTTTTTTGCAACTTTGTCACCGTGCCAGAGCTACAGTAGATGTCGGAGGCCTTTGAAAGTCGCAGGATGTTATTAGGTCATTAGTAGCTACAATTTGTATATCTCGGAATTTGGATGTCGGTGACCTAAGGTCAGGTCAATTTCGCGACCTCCCCATTATAAGTCAATGGGGGAAAAATCAACTCCCTGTTTTTACCACTAAAACGGGTCGGAATGGCCCCATATACCATACATGACTTCACATACGATCAACCTTCACTACCTTGAGGTCTGTTTTGCTGTTGGGCAGCTGTAAGGTCATGTGACGTCATCAAAGGTCACCAAAGGTTTTTTGCCAATAACTCCTTACAGGAACAAGATACAGCCGCGCGGATGGTCTCATTGTGTTCAGCTCGTCAAGACGCATCGAATGATATACATGATGACCTCGAGGTCACGTGACCTGAGGTCAACCTTTGACCTTGACCTTTCGAGGTCAACATATATATCATTCGATGCGGATTGACGAGAGGATCACGATGATGCCCTTAGTTTGTTCCTATCTTGACTACTTCGAAAGTTATTGGAGAAAAACCCTCTCCATATCTAGCGCCGCCATTTTGACTTTTTCGACCCCTGTGACGTCATCTTTGACCTGACCTGAAAATGACCTTAGTAAAAATTGTAGACCTTGTCCGTGCGTATCCGATGCCGTTTACCGCTTGTCGCTATCTTGCTTCGTTCTCGAGATCTCAGGGGGGGGGGCGGTCATCCGCCCCCCCCCCCCCGTCGGTACTAAGTTGGCGCAGACCCCCGTCGGTGCGCGGGTTAAGTCTCTGACTCAGTCTCACTAAAACATCCTCGGCCTTGTCTCACTGGTTGAAAGTTAATTCTAAAGCACTTTGCTGAGAGTAAACTATAATTTTGTTCGTGTGGTTTACAGCTTATGTTATTTTTCATTTCGTTTTGAACAAAACACCTAAGCCTGCTCACGGTCTTAATTATCTTGCTTTATGGAGCTAGTGTTGTCTGCTCACTGTCATCCATAATGTATATTACCTTACATACACAATGCAACTTTACCCTTACATATTACAATGCAACTTTCCGTGTCAACAAGGAGCCACTTGCCCAAATCACATCTCCTGACGCATCATGTCGCCTTTTCAGGCACGACTGCGTCCGCGGACCGTCTCTCGGCTGGCGGATCGTCACAGCCCTCCGGTAGCGGCAGCGCCGCTGGCAACACGGCTCCAGAACCGGAGGTGGATACCGGTCAGCTGCCGGAGGGCTTCTTCGACGACCCGCAGAAGGACGCCAAGGTGGGTGGTGGGTGGAAGGGGCGCGGAGGGAGCTTCTCCGTGGGTGGATGTGAGGCTGTCAGCATAGAGGAAGGTGGCTTATTCTGTAAACAGCTAAGCTTGTTTTGTAGCAAGCTCTTGCCGTTCCTCGGAGATAATCTTTGTCGTGACCACCCTTGGGAACGTCCCGCCAGCTCTTGGCTCGCTTATCATGCATCGAATGACTTTGTCGCCTCACACCATTACTCCGTTTTGTGCATTAACTCAACATCGATGCTATATGCATAGACGCAAACAAATGGAGACAGCCAGCTGCGGAAATCATTGTGTATAAGTTCACAGTCTATAGAGGACCTCGGTGTGCCAATGGGCGCGGGACGGGCTCCTTGAATAACGCAGCGGCTGCGCACTGCTGTGAGATGTACGGCGGAGATAAACCCTCTCTCAGTGGCGTGAACGGCAGGAGGAAGCGATGAGCGCGCGACAAACGGTCGTTTCGTTCGCAGAACGTGGGCAGTGTGGTGGTCACTCACGTGCATTGGCGAGCCTTGGGTTAAAATTTGAACCGAATAGGCGGTCAGAAGCGTCAGAAGTGCTCCCGTCGGAGCAGTTCGCTCTGAATATTTGATTTTTGTGACGGTAAAGCTATGCGTTTGGCTCGGCTACACGATCGCTCGGTCTCCGTTAGCGTGGGGTCATTCGCACTGGGGGCTATTCAACCTTTTTGGATTATGTATAGGATCGGCTTTGTGCATTCTCGTCTTTCACCAAGGCTTTGTGTACAAATGCATCCACCCTCAGACTTCAAACCTTTAGCTACTGGCGCATTTCGCAGCCCGAGTTGTCACAGGCGCACGACGAGCCGAGCACATGTCTCCCGTACTCAGGTCTCTTGGCTGGGTGAGCAGTGAGGATGTGATTTCGGAACGGGACTGTATTCGTGCATGATTGCGATGCGCCGGTTATTTACTCCGAGACGTGATAAAGCCTCCCGCGACACCCGCCTCGCCCGGTCTGAGCAACTCGACCTGCCCAGAGCTAGACTCGCCGCCACTCAGCGTACTTTCTCGTACCGCGCCGCCACCTCCTGGAACACACTATCAAAGACTGTGTTGCAGAGCTCGTCGATCGGGCAGTTCAAAAGCCGTCTGAGGATGATGCATTAAAGTCAGGGTGAAATTAATCACCTGAAAGTTCTAAGTAGGTAGGGGCCTGCATGTGTCATCATTTCTTACCACGTATAGTTTTTAGCTCTCTTAGCTGTGTATGACTCGAACTTATGAAAAAATTGTGTTCGCACGAAATAGGTTTATGAAAAATATGCATACATGGACATACATACACTGGTCAATGGTCATATATCTACATGTTCTTCCGATTCGGTAATTGCATTCACCTGTAGCTGGCGCCACGAGTAGCCAATGCGGTACCATCACTGACCATAATTAGCTGTATGCGGTGTGCATAACACCTGAATTAGATCAGAGTCTAATGACACGTGTTTTTGTGGACTGTTCCCTGTTCCCCGTAACAAGGTTGTTTTGCATCAGCATAAATCACGGCAACTGCCGTGATTTCTTTCCAGCTTGTTGTGACTGGAAAGTGCTTTGCTGTGCAAAACTTGTGTCGCTTTTTCGGCCGAGTTGCCCCATCCATCCTGCCATCGACCACCCTTCTATCTGCGATGGAACTTGCAAAGGCTGCACACGGCCTGTATTTCCCAGGAGATCGCACTGTCTGGAGATTGGAGGCCAACTTTGAAAGAAACGAGAGATAATTGAAAGCAGTGGCCAGGCTACTGAGTGCCTCTAACACCGCGCGATAGCTCACGTAACTAGTTTTTCTGTGGCGTTTTCTTACGCTTGCGTGATACGGCGATATAGATGGTGTGTTATTATACTTTTATGTCATATTTGAGGCGCGACACGTGGAGAACATGGGCTACAATTTGTTTACATACGTTTGTCGGGTTTTTAGGCTAGGCAGTGGGGTATGTGTACCCGGTGATATTCTTTTACATCCGTATGGTGTGTTTCAGGCGCGACACGTAGAGTACACGGACCCTGAAGTGTTGTGGTACACCCGTTTGGCGTGTTCCAGGCGCGGCACGTGGAGTACGTGGACCCGGTGGTGTGTTTAACACCCTTTGGCGTGTTTTTAGACTAGTCATTTGAGTACGTGGACCCGGTCGTGTTTATTAACACCCGTTTGGTGTGTTTCAGGCTCGTCACGTCGAGTACGTGGACCCGGTGGAGGCCGAGTGGGAGAAGTTCCAGCGGGAGATGCAGACCGAGATGGCGGAGTCAGAGGTGATACTGGACGAGGACCAACAGGAAGCCACCGTCGGTCGGCAGATAGAGGAGGTCGACGAGCAAATCAGGAACCTATCCAGGTCAGTCCAGAGACTGGAGCAGATCAGAGACCTTTCCAGGTCACTCCAGAACAGATCAGGAACCTATCCAGATCAATCCAAAGCAGACTATAGAAGCCCCTCCACTCCCCAGGCACTTCATGTAAGACGAGAAGCCTCTCCAGTTCCTTCACAATGGGTGACTTGGGTTCAGTCGACTATGATACGAAGTGCGCACTTGGGATCAGATATCTAATGGATTGTAAAAAAAAAAACGATATTTTTTGGCAAGACGCGAGTTGTTTTACATCCATTGTGCAATGTTATTGTTCAGTGCGCACGTTATGAAATTTTTCCTTTACTACAGCCAACTTGAAGGATAAGATTAGAGTCCCATTAAATATACAAAATCTGGGCACCTCTAATTCCAAAATCAACCTTTCCCGCGTTAGGTATGCACCACCAAACCTTGCCTCCCATTTTCGGAGTGTGGCTAAATCCGTTTTAACGTCCGACCAGCGTTGTTTCAAAGCGTGTGTTGCACTCTCGCCGGCTTTTTGTCCGCCTAACGATCCTTGCGTAATACACACACGATGAATGGTACTACTGCGTGACGTGACAGTGGTTTGAATACTTGATGGTGTTTGACATACCTGAAATGTTGATGGTTTTCGTGGAAAACCTGGTCTGACGACGGTGACAAATATTTTGTTAGGCGGATCGATACGCGACGCTCCTTTTCTGTCGACTGCAAGCTTCTTGACACGGCAACTGGCCGCCGTACAAATGAGCAGCCAAAGTAAAAAAATCGCTCCGGTCGTGCCCACCTGAGCCTTCTCACGATATCTCGCCGTCATTATCACCCATTCGTCATCCGCTCCAGTGAGGGCGTCTCGACTCGCCGGCTCGCTCGCCTTGATCCGCTCTCCTGGCTCGTCTGGGCGAGCGCCGAGCTCTCATTGAGCCGGGCACCGGGGGCTCCTCTCGCCCGTCTGTGTACTTCCGACGAGCCGGCATTGTGGCCCGTCTGAAGTCCTTCCTTGCTCCGGCAGCCCTTTGATCCCGAGACAATGCGGTGCTGATGCTCAGAGCGTGTAGGCCTGGCCCGAGCCGGGTCGTAAGGCTGGCGGGATGCCCGGGGCCGGTCAGAGACGGACGCGCTCGGGCTAGGGCGTGGGTGGGTGCAGACTGCAGTGTGTGGGGTTGTTCATGGACCAATGATTGGATTGTGTGGGGGTGTTTCTTGGATGATTATTGGACTGTTTGAGGCTCGAGCAGTCTCTTCGATAGGACACTGGATGTTGTCTCTTCGGACTTCATGCTATGTTCGAGTGCGCTCCTCACCATCGTCATGCATGCAGGAAGTTTCTCAACTTTGAGGAGCTCAGTAGGAGAGATAGGTGACATGGGTCGGTAATTGAGGTGAAAATCAGCGCTCACGTGTCACGTGTCTCGCTCAGTCGGCCCGGCGCGGCGTCAGGGGTGCGGACGGTGATTTGCCTGATCGGTAGGGCGGGTGCTGCTGCTGACACAGCCGGGTCTACTGAGCCGCTGACACGGCGGGGGCAGTTCCTCGCCAGCAGTCAGCTGGTGTCGCCATCGGTATTTATGTCGTCCATGGCGTGCGTTCATGTGCTATTTTAGACGGCGTGGATGCGTGCACCGGAGGTGTTCTCAGAGTGAATTATGTATCACGCCCCATGATAAACTAGAAGTGCTCCTATTCGGCTTCGATCTTGGCTGTCAGACTCGCTCGAATTATTATGTCTGGGCCTGAAACATGAATAATTATTTATGCCATATGACATACAGGTGTGCACCCATACTACAGTAAAGTTGGTAACATGAAACTAAAATTAGGTTATGTACAGTGCTATATTATAGCTAGCTATATGTTGCATAATAGATCAGACCACTCTTTGCCTGTGGTATTGGTGAACAATTAAGTGATGGATACATTTTCCAAGTGCTTCCCTACTGCCCGTTAGCCCTATGTCACCGTGGGTCTCGTCCCGTAACGCCGCATTCACTCCATCATATTTAGCGCTAACGATCGTAGCGTAGAAACTAGCCCTCTTCACTGCGCCTCAGCCAGTGCTCCGCGCTCCGTATTTCCCAGTGTTCCTCCTTTCCTGCGTCCTTTGCTGCTCCATTGGGCCGGCTGCTATCGGGTTTTTGCACGGTTGTCCCGTTTTTCTGCTGCTGTCATTCGTTCCACTTGGCTGTTCTCGGACCTTCGATCGGGCCCGGCTCGCACGACACAAACCCCCACGCCTGGCTTGCTATTGTGAGGCGGCGATTTAAACCCAAATGCACCTTCCGTCGAGTGTCGCGGGTCTGACAGTCGCTCTTGTAGTTCGAGATGCGGATCTCGTTCTGTGCTTTGTCCCTCGTCTGCCGGACTTTGATGTCAGCCAGGTGACCTATCCGTTCTGTTCCTCCACGTGGTATAGCGCCTCCTGTTTGATCTGTCATAGCCCGCTTGACTTTTCCTCGAGTCCACATCGCCTCGACCCGCACCATACGTTAACCGTTCTGTCTATCTTCGTTCATGCCACGCTTCATTCCTGTCCCGTATGTCCCAACACCCATGCTGGAATTTTCCTGTCCGTTCCATGCCTTCTTTCTGTCCTGTCGGCCCGTCTCGCGGTCTTGTGCGCACTGTTCCATGCCTCCTTCCTGTCCTGTCCATCCCTTCCCCCGTCCCTTCCATGCCTCCATCCGGTCCTATCGGCCCGTCTCGCGGTCTTCTGCACCGTTCCATGCCTCCTTCCTGCCTTGTCAGCCCGTCTCGCGGTCTTCTCTGCCGTTCTGTCTCCTTCCGCTCCTGTCTTGCGGTCCCTCGCGCCGTCCCGGCGGCCGACGACGCGCTGACAATGTGTGTCAGTGCCGCTCGGCCGACGCCCATCGGCTGCTGACGCCCCATTGCCGCCAGTCTGCACAGATGGCGGCTCGGCGCAGAGACGGCGGGGTATGGGACGCGGTGGAGCCGATCAGACCGGGCCCCGGGCGAGGCGGGCTCTGGGGAATAGCGTGGGCGACCACTGCATTGAGAAGGGGAGGGGGTGGCTGCAGTGGACCAGATTACGCTAAGTGATTACATGTGAACATGTAGGTATTGCGCGCCCGTATGCTGCCGATACTGCCCAGCCGGACTTTTTCGGCATTACCAGTAGATAGATTGTCTGATTTTTGTGGCAGTCGGTGATCTTTTTGTCCGGCTAGAGAGGCGGCTACTAATACATCAACAGCATGTCAGCAAAAACACTTTGCAAGACAATATGCCTTACCAGCCGCACTATCATCGCGAGCCTCGAAAATCATCAGCCCTTCCTAAGACCATATGCCTAAGTGGCTTCGCTATCATCATCATTATCATTTGTGTCTTGTGTCCGCAGAAGTCTATTCCAGGCACGTAAATGCTGAGGATGCCGTAAAAGCAGCAGCGCCCTCCCTAATTGCTGCTTCCACGCTCCAAATGTTGGGGTTGTGAGTGTGCTGTAAATGTGCTGTGCCTCCCCACCATACATTTTCCGGTAGTGTAGTAGTCTGGTATTGTGTCATGCTTCGTTTTACCCGTGTTATGGATTTGAACGTCACATAATATATGAAATGGCAATAATTTTCCGACTCCTCAAAGTTGAATCTACCATCCGATGATCATTGACAATCGCATTGCAGCAGGCGGTCACATGCGCTATTTCGCCTCACCGCGGCGCACATCTCTGCGGCGGGTTTTCTCTGCATTTCGCAGCGGCGCGGGTGTCTCCGCTACGCCCGGGGCCGTGCCGCCGCGGCCGGCCGTAGCGCGAGCACGTCGAGCACGTCCTCAAGTGGGCGCCGGCCGCCGCGGCCGGACGAAACTGAGCCTCTTCGCTAATGAGGTCGGCGGAGGCGCCGCTTTTTACGGCGGCCCGCAGCGGCGGTGTGTCCTCTGCTACCTGCGCGCGAGACGCAGAGGCTCGTATCAGCCGGCCGGCCCGCCGCGTGCCGCTGAACGCTCGATGACTTGACACGGCCCGGATCGAAAATCTAATTTGGCTCGGCGAAGTTGTGTGGAGCGGACGTCTGATGGTGGGCGGATGCGGCCACGGACGGCCCGTGGAACGGCCAGATAGCCCAAACAGCAGAGGCTGCGCGGTGTTGTGAGACCGGCCGGAACGGCGCCGGGCGGCGCGGCGTGCCTCGTGTCCAGACCGGGCTATCGGCGACTCCGGGTCAAGTGGAATCAAATGGCACCCGATCGGCCGTACAATTGTTGCTGATCGCTCGCGTGCCGATCGCCACGGTTCGATTGCGTGATTTTGTGGCGATTGTTTCGCCTCCAGTTTCCTGCGACACCGGCACGAACGCTCGCCGAGCCTCTGGACTTGGTCCCAGCGCACTTCAATACCGAGCCTCTCAGGTATTGAGCGCAACAGCCGTGAAAGCCGGACCCATCTTGTGCTCATAGTCGGGCTAATCACGCCGTCGTCTGCTGAAATAATCAGCGGCCGACTCCGTTCTCCCCAACCGACCAGCCAATGACCGGTCATCTGCCGCCGGACGGCTCACGACACCCTGGGGTTATTTGACCAGTCCGGTAATGCCGCCTCGCCTCAGTTCCGGTCGCCCCGCTGTCCGGTGACCGCTGCCGTCCGCCCCCGGTGCCTCTGCCGATCGATCGCCGGTTGAACGTCAAAATGACCGCGCCGGCACGCGTCACGACAGCGAGTAATGAACATCATGCAGGCGGCGAGTTATGGGCGCACCAGGTGTCCGGCAGGTCCGACACGGCGCGTTTCAGTGGCTGGTGGCGGCGACAGGGTCCAGCTGGGGTCAGACACGTAGCCAGGACGCTGTCAAAGAAGGGCTTATTGTGTTCGAGGAGGGAATAATGTATGTTTTCATCATGAAGATGCTATTTTAAGACGGGCTGAGCTTTCTGCGCAATGAGGCATAAAAAGACTTTACAGGACTTAAGACTTTAGGCTTTAGAAGGGCTGGTCTGACCAACCAGTTATAAGAGAGAGAGAGAGAGAGAGAGAGAGAGAGAGAGAGAG